TGATACGATGTAGTATTCTTCTTTGTGGCATTGTCTTTTGAATTTTCAATCCGTCTCTTGAAGTAGGTATGTAACATTTACTACGGCATGTGTGTAGGAAAATTTGAAAAATCAATCCTCAGACTGCTATCAAAATCATATTACTATTCATGCATTCATTCGTGCATAGCTTATATTCTACTCCTCCGTCCCAAAGTTATTGTCCAATTCACGGTTTTTTTGCGTTCCATTTTTATTGTCCTATTGTTATTACGCTGTGTTTAGACCATTTAGATGCTCTCAAGCGCTGTTGTACAGTGCGAATGGACAGGCGATGTTATACGGGAGAAGGCCCTGTCGCGCGAGCTTCTCCTTGCCCATATGGAGAAGTTTGTAGTCGTTTTCACCACCGCATTTTATGACCTCAACCAAGCACTGCTGCTGAGATAGGAACACGTTCTTCAGCTTGTAGTGGCCCATTGCATTAAAAGAATTCACGAAAGCTTCGATAAGCTCATCGATATTGTTCGTAGCCTGTTGATGCTGAAGTGATTAGATCGCTCGGTTGGATCGTGATGATTTATATTTTCGTATCTCAAAACAACAAAAAAAGATTATTTGAACTTAATCTCGGTGTATAACAAAAATCGGACTATAATTTTGGGACGGAGGAAGTACTAGTTATGAAGTACAAAGACATTAATAAATTTGAAATATGAAACTAGTTCATTTAAGATAAGTCAACATAACTCGGTTGTTTGATGAGGTGTAGAATGAGGTTCAATATTTACCGCATTTCATATTCCACACAACCCTTGTATCATCAATTTTGTCAGACTTGACTCATGAGTTAAGGTTTGAGGGATCTTAAAATAAATCTTAAACTTTCATCTCAATGATTTGAATATGCAAACTTGTAAATGTTTTGATGTTGGACAAAATTGATCAACATCACATCACGTTCACAAGCATGGCTGATTTTTCTATAGATGAAATATACAAATACTAATAAATATCATTTATAACAACTTGCGTTATAGATTGACTTGGCAGTAAGCGATTGATTTCATCTTATAATAAATTATTTTTTTATTCCAGCATGTATGTTGATATATCAAGTAACTACATGTTTGCAGTATTTTGTCATTCATTTTATTATTTTGTTTGACAACAAGTCTTTTGAAATCAATTTCGTGTAATCACTACTGGGTTTGTTCTTTCTCAATTTGCTTCACATGGGAGCTGTTGCAAATGGAAATTCATCCTGTCGTTGGGCTAGATACAATTAAAATACTTGAAAACGAGTAAATAAACCCCGAATCCCATACAATACCAAGTTGTGGTGAAATGTGGGATGGAAAGATGATTCTAGGTCTATAATTTTCCAATCTTTAAGAAACTGTTCAAAAGCTTCAGTCAATATCTATGGTCAGTTGATTATTTTGCTTCAGATCTCACTCAGTCTACACGTAAGTACATTGATAACCAATTGAATCTGTCAGCATGAGACCTACGTGATTTCTCACGATTTATCTGCCGGGTGGCATTATGTCATGCGCGTGCAGGCAGTCTGGCAAGATGCCTTCGTTTGACCGCATGGGAGTATCGGTGCCACTTTAGTTCCCGCCAGTGAAAATATTCTGAATTGACTCTCTACTGCCAAAACAGACAATTCTCAGGTCACGAGTCAACTCATTAGAATCTCAACTGCCTTCTACGTATCTCAAAGCAACTCCAGTGAATGTTTTGGAATGGGGGTATCCTGCCTTAATCATGACGATGCCTTGATCATCTAATTTCTTCTTCCAGAAGCCCCAAAGCCACGGTCCTTCTCGAAAACACCAATGAATGAATGAATGAATCCAGATGAAGAAACCACGTTGTGGAATCTCAGCACACAACGCATCAGAGAATCTTCAGCTTCGGCTGAGCTGAAGATTCTCTGATGTCCAGGAACTTTGCTACACTTGGTGGAGTTGTCGTTGAACAAGTACGACTTTTGCTGTAAATGAAGCAGAAACTTCGTGTGGTCTTTACACACCTGCAAGTAAGACAGCTTCCCTATACGAGAAACTATTAACCCAGAAACGTGCACTTCTGTGAGCTATGTGACATAGCTCAGACATAGCCTATGTCTGCCCTGAGAGGAGAAGTGTGTTTTTTGACGAACAGCAACTTTTGGTGTGTCTGATAGGAACATCAGTTGCAACGGGAAGATCCTCATTTGGATTCTTTAACCATCTCTGTCGCACGCCACGAGCTATGTACAGCACTTCAAAGCAGGCACCACATCCCGAACAAAGTCCAATAGTAGGTTGTCGGTTACGAAGGCTTCTAGTCCTTCAGTGAACAGCATCTAGTAATTCTTACTTTCTCCTTCTGAACCTAGCCTGTTGCTCACTTAGAAAGCCGAGGTAGTTTCAACCTGGTTCAGTCCACATCCTGCACGTCTTGCAACCCTTACAATCTACTTCATCTTCGAAAGATTACAGTTTTCCTTCTAAAGTAAGTTCGCGCACTTTATATTGGCTAGTTTAGACTGGCTGTGCTGCATCTGCTCAGGTTTAGGGACGAAAAGTGAAGAAGAAAACGAGTAGCAAGTGCTGGGTTAGACTCTGAATCTGTTCCGTAATTTGTATATATGGCGATGGTGGGTACCGTATTACAGCTTTCGTTACTGAAAACATTGAGATTCACCGACGATCACGATGATGTCTGTAAACTTGGGACGCCATGGGCATTTAGTGCTCCCACCTGACAGTTGATAACACATTTCGTGGCTGTTGTCAAGTTCCTGCTGCTATTTATCCGAGAGATGACGAACAAGCAGTTTAAGACTCTGTTAACAGTTAGTAAAAGCTCACTCGCACTTGGGCTGTCCTGGATTCCCAAAATAATTATCTGTGGCACATACAATTACTCTGCATTACTCGATGTCTTTCCACTGAAAGATATATCAGAAGTTCAATCCAGATTCAATAGGCTTCCCAATAGTTTCTTGAATGAGGTCATGAATTATTAACTTGCAGGTGTTTGAGATAAACGCACAAATTCAGTCGTTGCCGTCAAAAATTTCAGAATCACCTCGTACCCCGTTACTTTCAGGTGTGCTTCAATGATGTGCTTGAGCAACTCCCTCAAATTCAGTACGTGTTACCTCATTCAACGCTGCCCAACGAGCGTGTATCGATGACTTCCTGCCCCTTACGAAGCCATCCAGCCGGCAGGGCTTGACATGTAAAAGACAGAAGCATTGCAATTCTAGGTGTGACGTCACAAAGTTGCCGAAGAAATAGACTAGATAGAAAGAAACGAGAAGACAATGATAGAAAAAGGGGAACGTGTCATGCACAACTGAAAATGTAAGACAGTGAAAGACAAACAGATGCATCAGTACGAAGAGATGAGAAGCAGTGACAGGGTGAAATCCATGGAGGAAACTGTCTGACAAGACGGGTGTAGAGGATCCATTCCTCCAGTGACCATCAACAATATTCGAACGGGAAGTCTCAAGTTCCCGTCATTGTAACAGGGTGCATAGGTTTTCGCAGAGGACGCGCGGGGCTTGAGGAGATCTGGAGCAAAACAAGCCAATTGTAAACGATGGTTGTTGCCCACTCCTATGTCAAATTTTAACTAGCATGAAGCTGCTACAAGGGAGAGCGGAAGAGTTAGTAGGAAAAACGGGATGTAAAAAAACTGAGAGGACGGTCATTCCAATGGAAAACATCGTGAATGAAGAATGAAAGTTGAGTGGAACCATCTATTAGGTCAATGAAAAACATTATATCACTGTAAATAGCATTTAAACTCTAATTCCATGTAGAAAGCAACGAGTCTGATTTTCACTCAAATAGAGAAACTTGTACAAGAAAGCTATCGTTGAGGGAGAGAGGGAAAAACAGGTCAATGCCTATCTAAGCTGGATGATTGGCAAGTCGACAAGCTCCCGAAGCAAAATTCCTAGAAACGGAATGGCATAGAATGAACGATTCTCGACAATTGTAGATAGAAGCCAGGGTTCGATGTATAAGGCCATTTGTAGTGGTGGATGTCGTAGCTGCTAAGCAGTAAAAATATGGCCTCGAGTAGATGATGTCGCGTTGAACCTGTGCTGAAGAAATGGTCTACTTGCAGCTTTAAAATTCGTAAATCTTGTAAAATAGTGATGAGAAAACAGTGGGAGACTGATGAGCTGTAAATGGTTGAAATGTGGCTCTCGTCGTTTTGTCAGTAGACCTGGTTGGGTAGTGCGGATCGGACTGGGAAATGATCAAATTCATCAAACAACAGATGGTTCCAGTCTCATCGAACGCCGATAAATCTAGAGAGGAGGGAGTACCGTGTCGGAAAGAAAGGTTAACGTGAAATATTTGTGTAAGCAACGAGGAAAAATGGCAAAGCAGTGGTGGCCTTAACTATGTTGGTGATGAAAGTATGTTGAAAGGCAAACCTGGTATCAGCCATAGCAATTTCTAGTTGACTGTAAGACGCTGTTGCGTAAGTAGTCGAAGCAAGTTCTTGGCGGCCTGTTAAAAGTGAAGACTCATGCCCTCGGCAGTTTGTCTTCTGCTGCCGAGTAGCAGTCAGCTCCTGTTGCACTGCAATCAGTGTAACATGTGAAAGGATCCGAGAGACGCCGGAGACATCTTCTTGAGTTCGATCAAACCTGTGCATAACATCATTAGAAACTTGAAGTGGAGCACCGATGGGCCTTAAAGTCGCAGAGGTAAACAATGAAACTCAGTACAATAAGGATATATTACATGACACTGAAGAAAGGTAGCAGACATCCCTTGACAGACATGCAGATGAAAGGGACGCTCTATTCTCTTGCACGCAGTGCATAGCGGTTGTCATTGAAGCAAGGAAAGATTACAGCTCCCATTGGGCTACGAAAAGGTCCCGGCAAAGTTCTAAATCAGAACCCAGCATTCCACCCGCTCCACGCAGATGGATGACAGCAGAAAGAGCACAAGCCTACTCACAAAACTTGGATTTACAAATTGAACGTTTGAGTAAAAGTCCGAACATAAGGTGCAAATCTTTATTCAAGGTAAAACTTTCATCAATGGTGTGCAGAAATTTGCTCAAGAAAGACTCTCTGAAAAGTACTCCCGGCATTGTAGTATCTTTAATTTGGGGAAAAACCTAGGCACGTCGGTGCGAACTGAATCGGCATGTTTCATCTACAGGTTTCAGAGAGGTTATCACTCATTGGAAAGTTGGTAGCCTTGCGGCAGAAGACCCCGGGTTCCCAGAAAATGGAGCAAGAATCGGATGGAGGGAAGGGAGAGATTATCAAAACTTTTTTCCCCAAGGCAAAGTGAGGAGTCTTATATGACATTCGCGATGACCTAACTACGTCGGGCTTGCTTAAGCTGGTGCGACTTGCTTGTTAGCGAAGTTCACGCCCTTCTCAATACTGCCTTTCAGCTCGGCCATCAAGGCATCCACTCCTTTTTGCTCGTACTCTGTCAATCCCTCGAGGTCGTCAGTGATGAATGCCTCGACACCCTTCTTTCCGAGCTTCACTCGAGATGCAAAGAAGGGCAGGTCGGTCAGCTCGCTCTGAACAAACGTGCACTCGAAGACATCGGGATCGCCATCCAAAGCGCGCATGCATGACTCAGCGAATCGTGCTGCAGCGTACGCCATGGAAAGAGTCGCGGATCCTGCTCCTGCTTTGGCCTCAACAACTTCAGTACCGGCGTTTTGAATTCTGACGGTGAGCTCCTCAATCTCCTCGGGTGTAAACTCAGCGGAGGGCCTAGTCTTGGACAGGAGAGGCAGAATTGTGATTCCGGCATGACCACCGATCACGGGCACATCGACATCGATGAGCCTCAAATTCTTCTTCTGCGCGACGAAGGTGTTCGCCCTGACAACATCCAGAGTGGTGACACCGAAAAGCTTCTTCGGGTCGTAGACACCCTTGGCTTTCAGCACCTCGGCGGCGATCGGCACAGTCGAGTTCACGGGGTTGCTGATGATGTTGATGATGGCGTTGGGGGCGTTGTCAGCAACAGCTTCGATGAGAGTCTTGACGATGTTGGCGTTGATGTTGAACAGATCGTCACGGGTCATGCCAGGCTTTCGGGGAACTCCGGCGGGGATGATGACGAGATCCACATCCTTCAAACATGCGGCGAGTTCCGTGGGGCCGGTGAATCCCGCGACCTGGGCGGGCGTGTTGCAGTGGCTCAGATCGGCCATCACTCCCTTCACGTTCGCGATATCGTACAAGTTGAGGGTGGAAACCAAGGGCGACATTTTGATGAGGAGTGACAGCGGCTGCCCGATACCTCCTGCAGCTCCGAGCACGGCCACCTTGTAAGACGAAGCCCTAGCCTGTCCGGGGCGCACGGTCTCCTCGACATTCTTCGCAGGCTTCGCAGCATCAATCGACGCGGCGAGAGTCTCGAAAGACTCTCCGCCGCGGAAAGCTCCAGCTCCAGACACTCCTCCGCACCTCTCAGCCTTCAATCCCGAGAAGGTCCTCAACCCGCGCCTGGGCACGACCTTGGAGCCGGCGGACAGCGAGCCATGGCTCCTCGACACGCAGCTCGTCGAGAAAGAAGGAGCAGCCGCGACGCTCCCGGCGAGGGAGATCGCTGCCTGGGCGGCCATAATTTTTGTCGATGAAATCACGCAATCCAAAAACAACAATGGAGCTCACAGAGCGCGAGCCCCTGCGTCAAGAAACGGCAAAAATGGGCACAAACTTCTCGAGAAAAAACGCAGAAAGAAAGATCGACACCAACACCACGAGCGCCGAACGAACGAGACCTCCAAACAAGTGGGAGAAGTGAGAGCTGCAGAGACGCAGCGCTGAGAAATAAGATCAGCGAATGCGAGCCGATCGAGACAATCCAAGATCGATGCTGTAGTCGATTTGTGGCCGCTAGCTGACCGGCTGACCGGCCCAGCCATCGAGCGACGCCCCGCCCCTCCTGCCCTTGTAAAAGCCAAGCCCCCCGCCAAATGCAGCGCCACCTCCGACACCCAACCAACCTGTCCCTTTCGCCCCGTTCTTTTCGCTCCGTTCTTTTCGCCCCGACGCTGTTACCGCCCGAATTAGCATGCCTTGATCATGCTCCGTGGTCATTGTGTCCCCGCAGGTGGATATTATTTCGCCATTAATACTTTTTGATCCGGCGATTTCCGTCTTTGCGGAAATAGAGCGCTGTTTTTTTTATTAAATTCCCCTGTCCCTTTTTTTCGCTGCTTTCAACATAAAACTTTGTCCTTCGAACAACAAGTCTGCAAACCTTGTTTGTTAGCTCGGATATTTGCATTCATTTTCAGACTTCTTTGTCGATTTCGGTTCTAACTCCACATTTCAGCAAGCCTCTCCAAATACCATATTTTCTAGTAAAAAATTCAATTCTTATATTGTGTTTAATTATGAGAAAGGGGACCATCTGATTACCAAAACTATGGGACGACACCCTTAACCGATGCGAGTGAAAACACACACAGAAACCTGCGGTTAGCCCCATAATATCGAATTTTATGTACGTTCAAATTATGTCCCTTTTTTTACCTTCGTGGCGATAGTTCCCATGCAATAATAAATCGGATGGCCCAAAACCCTCTGCATTTCCTCGGGTTTCCTCGTCGAGGGGTCCGCTGAGCGCGCGCTGATTTGTCACCGTGACAGGCTCCGTCCGTCGCATACCAAACCTAATCACGCCCACTTGGCTGCGACCATGTCCACTTGGCACGGCTTACTGGACGGAGAGAAGTCTTACGCCGTACCCTAAATGTCCCAACACTTGGCACAACTGCCCAACTGAAGTCGGAAAGCACCAACGCTGTTGCCTTCTCCGATCGCAACAACTGCGTCGTTATAGCGCGATGGGATACTTACAGTATCGCTCACCGTGTTTGATAGACCGGACGATCGACCGTCGGCCGTGCCCTTCGGATCCGGACACTCCTGCGCTTCAGCTGAGCTTTTGCCGTGGAGCTTCTGCGGTACCCAGAACAGCTCGAGCCCCATACGCTTCGTCTTTTCGTACTGTATATGTATGTAACGGGATATTCCGTACGTACACGAGACTGTAGTGAAGAGCAGGGCGTGATGAACGCCCCAAAGAAAGCGCCAAAAATGTCCGAGGACCGAAAATGGAAAGGTCCTTCATTATTTGTGTATGCATTCTGTCGAGACAATATTGGGCTAGGGCCTTGTATCTCTGTAATATCAAGCGTATGGTGAGGAATACGCTGCTCAGGGTACTGTCAGAGAGTAGTTTGCTAGAGGACGCTGTGAAGACTGGAACCTGATCTCTGGTTAGCCAATATCTGCGGTCACATCTGTTAGTCGACCAAGGTATCGTCTCACGATGGCATCTAGTCTCGGTGGGCGCTATGTGAATCGAGGGCTTTCCAAGTTCGTACCGGCGTTGCTTCCTGCGTCCACGTTTGACCCGAACAGGGTTAAATGGAAACTCCAAGTCCCGTACATCAGTCGAAGCGAAGTATGACCTAAAGCGATAGCCACGATATAAGTCCACGGAGTGTTCTAGAACGTACCCGGTGAATTTATCGGGAATATAACCATAAACCTTCACTTTCATTTATCTTACTTCATTGTATAAATCTTCATAACCGTAAACCATCACTTTCATTTATCTTACTTCATTTTATTAGATTTCATTACCATAAACTTTTACTTTCATTTATCTTATTTTGATTTCATGAATATTCATTAGATTCATACAGAGTTGCAATTTTTTCCGCCCCGACGATGTTTCTATAGAATTGTACCCTTTTCAAGAGTGCGTTCCATCCAAGATTTGGAGATCAGACTATTCGCCAATATTCCTTACGGGGTATTTTGACATTGCGGCTGTACTCAGTACACGGCAATTCTGTCGATACAATCTTGGTGTAGGGGATAGTAATTAGACCTCAGGCGTTATTTTGAAGCATAGAGCGCGAAGAAAAGATCAGTATTGGTATGTTTTTGTTTGGACAAACTAACATGGAATACCCCATCACCGGGTACATGGATGAACCCGTACCTCTAACAGTGGCTTCCGGATGCGAAGTAATAGATATTGCGACTAGAATATCCACATTTTTTTTGTAAAATGATTTACACACTAAGATGTCCAAACAATTTGAATGGATCACTTTACAGATAATAAAAATTTCTCATGAGGAATCATCACGACCTATTATAAATATCAGTTATTACTGCACTCTTAAGAACATAAGAAAATTATACACTTTAATTTAAAGAGGGAAGTATAGTTTCAAATACTGTGATTAATTTTATGGATTGTATCATAATGATATTAAAATGGTTTTATAGCTCCAAAATTTCAAAATTTCTACTATCTACAGATTATTATTCTCTAGTATTATCTACGTTGTGATCATATTAAATCGTAGACTCATACTACTCAATTGATGTTATGGTAGAAGACTTGATGGGATATTTCCATAATTGATCTGAATTTCTTAGCACGATTATACTTCGAAGTTAGCGAATGATTAACAGGACAATTAGCGCCGCGTATGAGCTAATTTGCCCCGCACTTTTGCAAGGTGGTAGTTGGTGCCTGATCGCAAAAATTCGTTTCGTGTTCGTCAGCTGTTTGTCTTCTGCTCTTCTGTTGTTCTGGTACTTTCGGATCTGGAATAGCCGGGCACAATGCTCTTGTCTCGTGCATTTGCAGAACACACCTCCTCGGAGACAGTAACGTCATTGATGTGTGCAAGCAAAGCCGTCTTAAAGCAGATTGATGTGTGCAAGCAGCTCTCATTCCAAACTACCACTATTCTGGAATAATAGATACTTTTCACGAGAATTTTTTCTCTGAATTTTCTCATAAAGCTATCATCAACGTAGAAGTTTATTTATCGTTGAAGGCTGCCCAATGCTTCATTAGATTGTTTCATCGACGATATATGTTCTGGCCGTCTATTTGGCCCGGTAAGAAATGTGGATGGATGGCTAGAGTCCTTTGCAGCACTACGTTCCAATTCAGCCAAGTTGACCTGCCCCTGGAATTGGAGTCAACTCGAATGTTTTTATTTTAGTAGAACATTAGAATAACAAAAAGGGTGGGAAGACCCCATCAACTAAACTTAATTATTCGATTGCTTAGTACATCTACACCGGGAGTCGACAGACGTGCTTTTTGCAATTCGACCGTATTCGGTCCTTTCTATCACCGCGAATTCCGTTTGCAAGTTGCCGGAACTTCATTGTAATTTTCTGATGGGGAGACAAACCTGAGTTTACAGCAACATGTGATCCTCATTGAAAAAGGTTTAAAGGGTATAAATGGAATGAATATCGAAAGGGAAATCATCGACAAGAAAACAAAACAAAGGCCCACATAGGTTACAAAAACACCCAATCCAAGGGCTTAATAAAATTGGATACAGCTAATCTCACCCTTGATTAATTACTCCTTTTACAATTGTGCATACTTTATCGCCTATTCGCAAGTATGCATTGTGTGTGATAAAGGGAGGTCCAAAACAAGCATCATCAAATTATCACTCTCCCAAAATTACATTCAAGTAATGCATTATGACAAGGAACAATGTGCACCCGAATAACTATCATAAGCAATGGAATGAGGAGGTCGAGCTCTGACTGCACCAAATGAAATTAACAGTATATACTCTGGATGTGAAAATAATCTTGTTAAGTGGCTCCATGAACGATGATGGTAGCACGAGTGGACCTATAACAGCCAAACTCTCCACGATGGATGTTCTTCTCTGTGACGTGCAGTACGTAGAGAAGAGTGTGAAGGGTGAGTATCATCCCACATTCATGAATCATACTCCTGGATGAGAAAATCAGCATCGAGGGCCCAACTGAAAACAGCTGTCTTGTTGTACCTAGTCATGGAAGATATCTGTAAACAATCTACTCTGCAACTAAAACCTCCACCATGTCACTCCACAGCAATTTTAGAAATTCGATTTCTAAGGTTTAAGTTTTCTGTGATCACGAGCAACATCCTCACTACTACTATCTACGTTTATACTCTTTCATGTAATTGAATCTCAATTTCTACGGGGGCTTCTCCTCTACCAAGATAGTCGTGACTGCCAACCGTCAATACTACAAGTCTCTTTCCCAAGATTGTCCCTGTTCATTCCAGTCAGCTTTGTAACTCTTAAATCTTGTTGCCCCCTGAATTTGTCTAATTCTTTCATGACAAGACAATTGTTTAGAAAACCCGAAAGCAACCCAGCCAGTCTCAGTCTGGAAAAGATAGAGAAAGAAATTTGCTGAAGTTTCTAAAATCTAAAAAGAAATGGACAGTGCACTGAGTCAGGGAGAGGACAAGAAAACTTCTGTAGAGTTCATTTGGGTTGCTTTGACCATCTGCTTACTGAGGGTACTGACGGAGGTGTAAAGTGTACCTGGAGGGAGTACTGACGAGTACTACCTAGAGAGAAACTTTCTAACGACTGTGCAATGTGATGTTTCTGTCTCTCTCCGTGCATGAGCATGATCGTCAACCTGTCTAGAAGATGTCTCCACTGGAAAAGGTAGGGCTGCAACCACAACGCTTCACTGCTCGTGATTTGTCGGAGTGCATCGATCATGAATTCTACTTCGGGAAGCAGGTGTTATGCTGTATGCCTCCAGACAATACTTTACTCTTGACATCAGGTACAGAGTTTGTTGCAGGAAATATGACGTCAATTACCCACACACACCCCGCCCAATTTACCGTCAAATAAGATGCAAGCAAATGAAATACAACCAAATAAGAATAAAACCCACTTGATCAGACTCCCCATGGTGTCGAATATCCAAAAAGTCACGACAGAATAATTGAAAATGTTTACTAACATGTTCAATTAGTTGGATTTTAGTGGAAGAAATGGAAGAGGGAAGTTCTTTCGTAATAGGAGTAATTTACATCCAGAACAATTTGATGAACAATATATAGCTTCACTTTCGCATGTTGATGGTTTGAAAGTATACCACTTACCGATTTCTCGTTAGTAGACAGAGAGAACGAATTGGAAATATAGGAAGAAGATTTTACTCTTTCTTTTGAGAGAACTCCATTAAACGAGGAGGACCACTCTAGCAGCTTTCATGTTTGTGGTGCAAGAACAGCATCATGTAACGCATACATTCACTTCATGGCTGTCTTCTCATGTCGTGTGACTCATGGTTTGTGGAGGTGTTATGGCCCAGAAAGTCCATCTGTTGCAGAAGAAACCCTCTGCAAATGAAGATCATGAGGATTTCAACATTATGGAGGAATCCACAAGCACTGATGCTTTCCATTGTCCTCGATGGAATGCACACATACAATAAAGCAGCACAACCGCACTCTTCCTCAGACAATGTTGGAGCTCTCCTTCGTGCAATATTTCTCGCAATATTTCGTGCAATTAGAAGGGACATTTTTAGCCTGTTGCATCAGCTGTAGCTTGAAATTCATATACGTGAAGCTCAACCTGTCACGACCAGCAAGGCAGACGCATGTTTCAAGAGGGATTGACGAGAAAACCATCGCAAAGAAAACAAATCCGAGCCCAAATAGGATCAGTGAAAGTCTAGTATGGGGGCACAAGAAAGAAACATGAGACTTATCACTCTCATACTAGATTTCTCTGCGGCTTTCCTCTAATCTAACCTCTTGCATGTAAATCATAAGATGTAGTGGTGGATAGGATCCTGAACAAACAGAAAGAGCACCACCTTTGGTAGAAATAATACTCTCTATTATGTGTGATGAAATGCCATCCTAATGGCGGTCCAAAATATTACCAAAGAATGACGCTGATTGTGCTCCAATTTGCATATTATGGTACACTCGCGCTGTAGAGATGAATACTGAACTGCTATGCAGGTTCACAGGTGCTGATATTAGCAGTTAGAAAGAAAGAAATTGCGTCTAGGGGTTCTCTAGAAATGCAATCTGCTACATTATATTTCATCTCCTTATAATTTATCCTTGTCTTCCCATACTTTTGTCCTGTTGTCCATACTGCCTGGCTCCCTTGTTCCCTGGTTGTCGATATTGGAAGCGGCCGTGTTGCAATTCGAGAGCGTCGAGTGTATAGTGTCTCCGATGTTACAGTGACTGTGTGGCAGACGTCGCGAACATACGCCCAGGTATGATACATACATCTATCTCACAATCACAATCGATGGGGTCCTCCCTCCCATCGAGCATTTTGCTGTTTTGCTTTCTACCTCGGATCAATCGCTCACATCCCGACTCGGATCCGATCCTTCATCACACCGTCACTGCAGTTCTTTCGAGTCTTGAAGAGTAAGAGCGGGAGGGCACACATCGAAAGCCTTTCCATTGAGCAGCGGCGACGATGAAGGCAGAAAGCTCTGCCACCAATGAGGCACAGTTATCTGCTGATGTAAGTCTAAGTCTGACTCTGTAAACAGCCAATTTGCTCTTGAGAGTCCGATGATTTGCTTTCGTTTGCGATGCCCAGGCAATGCCTATGGGCTTTTGGGATTGGCCAGCGAGGAAATTGTTTGGTATAATCTTCTAGGGTGTGAGGGCTCTGCGTTTAAGCTCAAGTGATTGAATTTGGTCCCTTTGACTGCAGATCCAGAAATTGGAGGTCGCCTGTGCAGAGCTGGCCAGTTTACCGTCTGGTCGGGTAAGCTTGGCCTTGGATATGAATTCTGTTGTAGAAAGCAAGATCTTGTTTCGAGCACTTGTCTTCATCGCGGTTTGCTTTGTGCCACCATCTTTCTGGATTTGAATGGAACGGGTCTGTGACTTCGGAATGTGCAGACTGTATACCTAAAGAAGGGCAACTTGTTTTTCCGTAGCGACCCCAAGCTCGTCACCAGCCAGCAACAGAGTGAGTACCTTATTAGCCCTGAACCACAAGAATTGGCTGGACTGTAAGGTCGTGCATTCCCTCGCTTACGGTGTAACCTGTTATGTGCTTTGAATGTGTTCGAGCTTTTCATTCTGTGTTTTGCTGGAGATGCTCATTTGTGCTGCCTGTGACTTGACAGGGGAATTGAAGAAGGTCAAAATTCGCACCGGCAAGAATCTCAAAGATGCCTTGTAAATTACGGATGAAAATCACGGAAGGTCTTTCGCAATGTCGTAGATTTCAGTTTGGTGTCGAAGATGCTCCACCAGATTGTAAGCTGCCAGGGCAAAGTCAGAACATTCTCATTTCTCCTCGTAACAGTGGAGCTATGGGGTTTTGTGAAACACAACCGCTGCCAATGGTAGCTAAGGCCATCCGTCGCCGTGATGGTGCCTTCGAGTTTCGGCAGCGTCCTCCCCTCTCGTTGCCCAAATTATCGCCTCGATCCTCAGATTCAGAATCACCAGACCAAATTGCCGATTTTATAATTTCTGGAACCCCTCAATGAATCTGAACGACATGATGCGATGCTCCAGTATGCACCGATGGGGAAGTTGCATCCAAGAGCACAAGAGGTTTTGGGTGAAGGAGCTCTTCTTTCTCAGTAACTCGAGGGCACGTAACTCTAAGGCATGGGCACAAGTCCTTGTGAAGTGAGGACACCTTTCTTTGCATGCCGACGAGCCTCTTGTACATTGATCGTCTGAACCTTTCCTTGTTATTTTAACCTTGTGTTTCCTCTCCTTCAGTACATGAGAAAGAATCTGTCATTGAAGTGAATGCGCTGAGACCAATGTCTGAACTTGACTAAATTAACTTTCATGAGATCCAGATCTCGTTTGTCAAAGTATGTCTTTCTTTCGGCGGACGGCTGAACTGCGAATTTTCAGATTGTGAGGGAGTAAATAGCGCACTGTGACTATGTCTTGAACTTCTTTCTAGATAGCACAGAGCTCTGTTTAAGTGGCACGAGAATGAATGCATAAAAATAGCTCAGGCTTTGTTGCATATGCGTCTGAAATAGACTTCAAGTTTCTGAATTTCGGACGTTCGATGATCACTTTATGTATAAAACGTAACAATTCCATTCAATTTGGAGGCGATCACGAATATGCAACGTCGATGACCGCCTGATGGCAAAAAAAGTATATTATGCGCAGAATTCAGCAGATAAAGCAGTTTCATAGAGACCATTACAAATTTCACCGACGTGGTAAGTGGGGAATCTCGTCCATGAGCCGACTTTCAGATGTTTGAAAAGTCGTGTTCGTCTCTCTGGCATATTTTACAGCCAAACGACTGGCGTTAAAATATTTTCAGTTTAGCATCCTAGCACGATAGTGTACAATTTGAACAAAGTCATTGTACATTTGGTGCTCTGGCTAAGAAGGCCGTTTCTGACTGAGAACATCGTTGAAATCGGGGGCCATGTGTCAGCGCCAGAGATCTTCTGAGCTTCGACAGCAAATGCCCCGTAAACTTGACTTTTAGAGCAGTCGCTGAAATCAATGCTCAGAAGGTCACCATAGACTCCAAAATGACTACGGTTGCAGCCAAAAAGTTATTTACAGATTTGACGGAGAACCATCAAGTCAGCAGGACGACTGATCATCGATATGTGGAGAAAGGTGTAAAAGGTTGAAAGTCCGGCAGCAAATATGGAACCACCATCTCTAGCATGTCTGCTTCGGTTATTGAAAGGTGACCACCTGGTAGGGCAAGGTAAGCCACTTTTCCCGCTCGATCAAGAGTTTTCAAACCAATCCAGTCTTCTTTGTATAGGTCGGTCTGTAAAAGGGGAGGAGACGGACATGCAAATCTGGTCAGCTCAAATGCAATCACTCCAGGATCCCACACAAGAAATGGAAATAGTGAGCTCGTATGACAGGTTGTACCTCTTCAGCTGGCAACACCTTGCTGAAATCGTTCGGAGCGTAGAATCCAAACCAAGCTGTATCCGCAGGATACAACACCGCGTCTTGTTCGAACTGTAGCAGAAAATTACACCAACTTTTAAGCTAGTCTTCCATCATTCCATGATACAGTTCGAATTAAGCGAATTCTACACAGCTTCTTCTCCACCCGAAGAATATCATAAGGTGATCACTACACGAACAAGTACCAGCCAGCAATGAACGTGCTTCAATTCACCTTGATAAGAGCAAGATAGTTGAGGGAGCTGAACCGATTCTTGTAAGTGTGATTACGACTCTCAGGTAATTCGTTGTTTAGCCTGGGAAGAAATAGGCAACCTTGGTAGTAACCCTCCATATCCTGCGCACAACCAACTTGTTTAGCATGCGGCAGATAGCTGGAAGAAAGACAAACACATCGCATCCCGCCTGCATTGAACCGATTTATCAGAGCCCCACTCACCGTAGGTATCTTGACATAGCCAGTCGGTGCGAAATTGTTCTGATCACACAAACCGCATGAAATTATTAAACTTGCAGTCGTATTGTAGAGCAACAAATCTGTGCAACGAGAAAGGGCTTCAACTTCTTCAGAGATATTTTGAAACTGCTCACGAGTTACACTGGCTCCTGATATAGATATGAAAAGAAGACATATATAGCCATTGAGCTCCGAAAGTTTCAGTCGAACATATATCAGCTACCTAAGGCAAAGGACCCACCTGTACGTAGGAAGAATATACACCAATTCGAATGACTGCATCCACGAGTTTGCACAAAACCAAGATCTGGTCGACAAAAGAAAGGGGGATGAGCTTGAAATACTAACAGGCTCAAGACAGCGACTTACGGTTGCTATGTGAAAGACAGTATCACAATAACTCGCTTACATGCAGTCATCATATATACTTAGGACAAGGCCTGAGTGATCTGCACTTGCTATTTAATACACACACAGACACACGGATGTGGACACAGGTAGCATGGCATACAGCTATGTACGTCGAATCGGTTCAGCCTATTAGAAGCAATAGTTCATATTTAAGTTTTGGATGATTAGAAGAGCAATGTGTCTAGGTCATCCAAATTCTATCCCTCTGTATAAACCTCACTGAACTAAACTGTTTCTCTTTCCACAGATTCACTCATCTCACCTTACACAAAGGTACAGCTGCAATACCCGCATGGGGACCTCCGAGTGATACAAAATTGTTGACCTGACAAAGGAAAGGATTTCATCTTAGCATTCTCAGTTAACATTGGCATACGTTCAGCTGTAAAAATAACCAAAAGCAACAGCTGAACAATGGGCTCGCAAAGTAATTTGCTTCCAGAGCTTAACTTGTCACTTCATAGTAGCTTCTAAACTGTGAAAAGGGGAAAATTCGTGTTCATATTGGAAAAAAAGAGGGTGAAATAAAAGATTTCGGCATGCGCTGATCGAGAAAAACGGAAGGGAGTAAAAATTATTTGAGAAACTCTCAAGAAGTCTTCTTTCAGCCAGAACAAGTTCCACCATCAACTTTTTCAAATGTATAGCTGCGAATACTGAAATCTGCAATCGCACAAATGTTCTTCAAACATGTTTCAATTAGACAAATTACAGATAGAATCGAAGGAGAATGACCACCGGAATAATCATGACAAATTTAAGTGCAAGTTAGTGACGATATGTGAAAGCAATGCACCTTCACATCAACCACATACTTTTAAATCCAAAATGCAGAAGCAGGTGATAGTATTTTTGTAATATGGGAAGAAACTTACTGGCGGAGCGTCATCGCAAAATTCGATTACAGCACGACCAATGACATTTCCCTACAATGACAACAGCAAATTTCAACATATGACGAAAGATGGATTCCAACTGCAGCTATGGTTTCGTTTTGCACGAAACCTCGAAGCAGTAGTCGCAAACTAACATTAAGCACAAAACCTGTGTCTGTAGCATAGTTACTGCAGATATGCAAATGCCACGACCACTTAAAACCTGCAATAGAAGACTGAAGCACCAGCTTTTGGTCTTGATTCACAATCAAAAAATCTCTGTTCGGAATCAGGGGTCAGGAAGTACCTGAGATAAGCCCACCATATTGTAACCATCTTGCAAGCTTTTGATTGATTTGACCTGGAAAAGCAAACAGGGTACGGATTATCTGATATGTTGAACACTTTCAGTTTTTGGTGATTAGCTCTGATCGGATGCATATTCTGGAGAAACATAAGCACGAACACAGTCACAAGCGAACATCAAAAAGCTGTCACTTGAAGTTGCAGATATTCTCACCTGTTCGCACACGATATCTGCCTGCATATAAAAACACTAGATATGTCAAGATCGCATATGTTGCCCTAGTCTTCAAAATATTGACTAAACATGTAAATTTTTTCCACAGAGAAGTACCGGAGGCCTACAACCTGCCTTTGAAAACAACTTATCAGACTGATTCTTCTGAAACCCTATGCCTTCAGTGAAATCCAGTGGATGAAGAAAATAACATTACACTGAAATTTGACAGTCCTGAAATAAGAGGAGAAATCATCAAAGCCTATATGAAATCAAAATGTACTGTGAGAAAAGTGGTCGGATCTCAGATGGCACCTGCTTATCTAGACGCATAAAGAAAGAATCGCTGACTCCATTGCCTATTTCACTGCAACAATCAAAAGCAAATGCTTCAATCGGACAGCCAGCAAATTGGATGTGCTTAGTATATACGCAACATGCTTTTCAAAAAAGACCAGCTCCCCAAAAGTCAATGTCAAGTCCCCAAATGTCACAAACAAGATCCACACCATTGAGCAGATGATTGATCACTGGTTCAGAGTTCAGAGGAACGTACATGCAGTAACCAGGTAGGCCGGTCATATCCATAAGCAACTGTGTGAACATCGACAGTCCCTCGTTTCTGCAGGCATCACCTATCCCTGTTGAAAATCTCCGAGAAAGCAGGATTCAGATAACTCTCCTGGATTTCAAGTAGACAAAGTGCAAATTCATCGTTTATAGCGCATGAAATTAACCAATTCCACCGACTCACCATGCAAGACAATGAAAGGAAGGCCCGATGAAGCCAGCGCACCGACATCTTGACCAAAAGAAGAGCCCACATGGAAGAACAACAACAGTGAGCTCACTGCAAACACAGCGCCGAAACGAGCACTCCTCCTCCCCATCAACAGCTCCATTTCTTGCGCACTTTCTTCACACCTGTTCTTCCCGATCCAATTTCCACAATATCACACGATGTATTGTGATGCCTTTCTAGCAAGATGGATGCCCCATCTTGATTTGCTTCAACTCTCGCCACGTGCTGCGATTTGATGATTCTCTTCAAATCTGAGGTGACAGATCAAAACTTATTCACAGCTCCTACCTAGAATCCAATCCAAGCTCGCAGTTCACAGCATCCGAGCGCGATGGAGGGCAGTAATTGCTGTTCCAGCTTTGCAATCACGCAACCCACATAAATTGTACACGAACGAACACCAGTCTGTGATAGACATCATGACTGTGTGTCGCTTCAGCGTCTGTGCCCCTCCCTCGGTGTGGGCCCAAGCATCAAGACTCAAGAGTGCAAAGGCAGCGAGCGTGAGTCCGACCTTCTTGGAGGGGAGGTCGCTAAAATGGGGGCTCCAATCTGAAGCCTCTCTGATCATAGTCTGATTCGAATATGCCATGCTGCCAATCAGCTTCAGCCAAGACACTCTCGTTCTGAAAAGCCTGGCTATTAATGAGACCGGCGCATTATTCATACTGACTTCGATTTTACTCATTATACAGATACGTGTGCATTTTCGTTAGGCCAAACCTGCAATCTCTTCCTTCTTCAGTATCAGGCACAAGAGCCTCTATCCTTTCATTTCCGTCTTGTCACGACCTATGTACTGTAGTTTCCATGGCTGACTCATGTGGTACATTCCTCCCCATTTGGGCGTAGCTCATCCTATCATTTACATCTTGATGCGGTCTTTCGATCTTTTTTGCTGAATTGCTTGGTGTGCTCCCATTCAGATTGTTTTGCTAAAGAAGAAGATTAGTTTAGAAGAGAGTTTCGGGAGAAAGAAAGAAATTCGAAGAAGAAAGTTTCGCGACGGATGCTTCAATATATGGATCTACATCACAACATCAATCACGATACTCGAGTCAGCTTTGACAACTATTTCAGAGCAGCATGTTTGCGTGCAGCTTGACATGATACATCCTCGTGATTTCTTATGCCAACATTTGATTATATTGTTTTTACTCCGCCTAAATACATTATATTGTTGAAACTCAGAATTTTCTGCATTCAATCGGGAATGTCATCCACAATCAATTCTCCACTAAGTCATGATTAAATTTTTGAGGTCCAATCTAAAATTGAATAGATTGATAAAGGCAACAACTACAAATTTAGATCTATCCTAAGTTTTCTCATTATTATACATGAGTATAGTTCATTTTTACTATCAAATATGTCAAATATTTTAAAATATGAATTAAAAATTCAAATTCTTCAACTTGCAAGAAAACTGTCTACATTAATCAAGTTTCTGATTTATTCAAACTTTAAATAAAAAAAATCTGCAATTCTTTCGGAAAATTTAAGAGGCCTTTTAGCAAGAATGCTGCTTAGATTTAAATCTAATTACAAATTTTGCAATTTTTTATTTCAAAAAAATATTTATTTTTTTCCAAATAAATCAATAAATTCATACTCTTTATAAATAGACTTCAACTCAAATCTTTATTAATTCTAATCACATCAAGGTTGCAAATTTTTCTTTTAATTTATGAGAATTTTTATATAGAAATTCATGCTCATTCTACAAGATATTACTTTTTTTTCTTCGATGAAAAGAAATGAATATGCTTAGATGAATCTATCTATGTAACCTCTTACAACATGTATCATGCTATTTTTGAGTGTATGTATATGTTGATACATGTGGTATTATTCATCAACTCATTCTGCAACAACACTGAAATTCATGTAATTTTTATATTGAATTTCAAATATATGTCAATATTATTTTATCTTGTATTTTTTTCATCAAATTATAAATAAAAGTGAAACACGTTAGAGTTGTCAATATTAGGAACAAGCAATTGTTCAACTCTATGAAGTTTTAAAGATGTTTTTGGTGTCAAAAATTTCCTCCGATATATTGGTTGAGTCAAAAGGTTTTACAAAAATTAATCTAGATAGATTGAGATTTGAATTGCAAAGCAATATAAATTTGAAATATTTTCCATTTGCATGATATTGAAATTAATAATGATGAAACTTTTTTTTATTCCGGATGAAATGTAATAGTTAAAAAATAAAATATTCATATACAGCGTTAGTTGCAACAACTTATTTGAAAAAAATTTACTTGAGATTCAATGAAACTTGCAAAAAATCAATCTTGGATTGATAATGTATTTTTTTTTAATACTTCTTGAATCATTTAAATAGCTCTCGATACAATCTGAAGATTTTTAACATAAAGATTCTTGCAATTCTTCTATCATCATACTGATGAATCTTTAATTTCACAGTAACATCTATTGAGATCCAATTTTGATTCGAATTTTTTACAAAAATTAACAGAATTTTTTTTAGATTCTATGTCAAATCACTCTTCATAAAAGAGAGTATTGCAGTTTTTAAAGCTCTTTTATCATACGAAATCTCAAATCTCTTGTTATTAATTTATTCAATGTTCCAACATCATCCTTGCAACAAGACTTTCATTATCAAAGTAAGAAGATGGAGAGACCTAAAAGAAATATCATATAGCATAAAACTAAAGAAAAATTAAATACACATAAGACAATGCATTTTGGGATATGTCATGATGTATATTAACTTTTAGCTACTAATTTTGATTCTTATTTAATGCAATGAGGTCAAATCAATTGAAAAAGAATACTGTTATTCATGTATTATACTTCAAAAAATTAACAACTCTCATATAATATCTAAAATAAATGCATTTATGAGCTAATTTTGCAAAAATTTTAAAATGTGAAAAAATTGTATCAAAAATTTCGGCTGTATGATTCTGTGAGCTCACAAGCTCATGCTCGGCATACTTGACTGAAATTCCAACTATTTCATTTCCTCCTTCGAAAATTTCACACTACTTGCTAAACCTCCAAATAACCTTAAAGATATAAACGAAAATTTTTCATTTCTACAAATTTGTATTCACTAATGATTTTCAGTATTGTCGTTTTGAATTCTAGTTGAGCAAAAACTCTCATGCTTTATTCAGAGATTTAATTCTAGCTTGAATACACTATTAAGCCATATTAAAATGAATCAAATCGAAACATCTAAATCTAAAACAAATTGATTTTTTATCATTTGAAAAAAAATCACAATATTTTTTAAATGAATTTTAAATTTATCCTAGATTAACTATAATGATGTACATAATCCCCGTGTTAAAATTTGTCACGATAAGCAGGTTTGAATTCATAATATCCAGAGTAAAAACATTGTAAAAAAAAAAGATGTCAAATTAAATCGTACGAACTATAAGAAACATAATTGGATTCAAAAAACCATCATTCTATCTACAAGGTTATCATAAAAATGTTATTATGCTCAAGTTCAAAAATATCTGTCATGAGAACGTTTGATATTGATCATAAATGTATATCAAGACTTCAAATTTATGACTGTTTATGTCGTATTTATCTTTTTAATTGAAATAGGTAACAGGATGTTATCATCTTTAACTACATCATCAGCGTGAGACTTCAAGAATGGTTCAATTTTAGTCTTTTTATCGCTCTTCGCTGATACTGAATAATGTTTTATATAAAATCTCATCACCTTACAGATTTTGAAAGGAGTCATGTGTGAGTTGTGTAACAAGTGGAATATCCTTGTGCATCATAATTCAATTCTGAAATATGTTTCAATATTTTGAAACACTTTTGTTATTTAAGACTTGACATGTATATTTTTTCTAGCTCGTGGAAGACATATTTTGTTATATACGGGAGTATTCATTTCAGTAAGAGGTTATGATTAACTGGATGTATATTTTGCTCAATGTATGTCTTGGCCCACATCTCATGAAAAGATATATATTTTTCTTTCTCATATTGATTGCTTCATAATATTTCGGAGTAAATCAACATTATCCAAATGTACCAAATGCTATCACTGGCTCCATGCTGATCAGCATATCGTATATGTTTACATGATCTAACATTATTCGATAAAATTCATGTTCCATAGCGACAATAATACTTAATGGGGTTTGTGCCTCTGGTTCTGCCACTTATGATTTTGAAGTGAAAACATCGAATTTTGAAAATGCTCTCAAGTGGTCAAAGCATAACAGTTGAGTATGTTTGTAGGTTCCTTCAATGCACATTTTCACCGAAGCCGAGTACTGCAACCCGAAGTAAATCTTCAAAAGCTCACACCAAAAGCACTCGGTCTGTAGTTTACGTCATATTTTGGAGCTTTCTAGATCAAGTTAGGGTTAGAAACTGAAAAATATATCATCTATATGGTACACTACGTGTGCACCAGAGACAGTTTGCACTTGGTGGTATACGCGCTAGTGCGATTGCCATTAGCTTTTTCTTCTTCGTGACGAAAGTAGGTTGCGCGAATTGTCGTAGTACAGAGAAGCCGGATACTTAAGTGCTTGCACCGGTCGGACTCTTGTGTAGAGACGAAGAATTCACCATGAAGTGATTATAATGCCGGTTTACTGTCAGGACTCTTCTTTTCATTCCTGAAGACATGATTGATGCGTACAGCAAAACAACACATCCGTCTCACATTGGAAGATAAGGCTTTGCCTTCGTACGAATGAGGCATATACTCGTCCATTGTGGTTCGACAAAATGGACGGAGTATTCCACCTCTCCAGACATTCTGACAATAAACAGCAACCATATGAAGAAGTCTGGACACTGAAGAGATCAAATATTGTGAACGTGGGTAAGAATAAGTTTATTATGTACATGTCTTGCTTGTCAACAACTACTCTCTGTTTCTGATCGTATTTGTGTACACCGAACGTGCTCAACCAACTGAAAAATCGCTGGGCCCACTCTTCCTCTCCAACAACGGAATCTTCATTTTCTTGATCGTGTTGAATCAATCTCTCATCCCCACAAAACATGAAGGACCCCGCGCGGCTGAATGAAGCACGTCTGCAATAATCATCACAGGAAAGTGTACACTAACTACCAAAACTTTGAATTTTTTTCTATACTGGCTGGAGAGAAGGACGGCTCTAGGCGGCGACTACGTTCTCGTCAGATAGGACGACCCAAACTATAATACTAATCATACAAGCGAAAGGCTCAAGATGAAACCTTGATCATATCCAAAGAAAACGGTGTGATGTCCCGAACCCTGTCATCATACGGCATCGATTGTTGTTGTTGTTGTTGACTTCGAGTTTCTTCAATCAACTTCTCGATCTTCGCCAAGAGCGGCGAATCCGAACTCATCTCTCCTCGCCCGAAGAGGCAAGCTTCGACGTCCGTCCACCCCTGAGCCTCGAACAAAATCCCCGATTTCCGACAGCTCCACGTAGAGCCGCACAAGCGAGCCACGGCGATGTGCGCCGTGGCCTCGGTGAGAGGCAGAAGCTCGATGTCGTAGAGGGAGAGAACTCTCCTCAGCAGAGGGCTCTCGCCGATCACGATTCCCAAATCCGCCTCCAGCAGGCCCAACAGATCGGTGTGGCTGTCGCCCAAGTACACGAGCATTCGGTCGACCGGCCGGGCCGAGCTCCGGGCGGGAGATTCGTCGGAATCGTCGCGGGCGCTGACAGATGTCATCAGCGCAGGCAAGCGGCGGAGCGTCCGCAGCGTTTTCTCCTTGTCGAAGGCGTCGACCACGGTCATGTCAAGAGTGCCCTCCGAGGCGCCCGCCGCGTCGAACGACAGGTCGTTGCAGTGGACGAAGAGCTGGTCGCGGCGCAGGTCGGGCAGCCCGCCGAGGATGAGGTCGCGCGACCAGTTGGCCGACACCACGTGAATGGGCGTACCGAGTTGCTCGAGCTGCTGCAGCACCTCGACGCAGTTGGGCCGCATGAGCACCTTCCTGGCCTCGGCGCGAATCTCGTCCTTCGTGGCGCCGCTCAGCACTCGCGCTGCCACAACGTCCTCGTTGCACAGCACCTCGAGCTTCGCCAATTTGACGAGCGCCTTGCGCAGCCCGGCCTCGTTGTATGGCGCAGGGGGGCCTTCGCCTTCGGACGTCGTGATGTCGTCGGCGAGCGGCTTGCAGAGAGATTGCAACGATGGGTCCATGCCGCACAGGAATCGGTTCTCGGAATGGTCTGCATCGCGCCAGTAGGTGGGGTCCTCGGCCTCGGGCTCCTGACTGTCGAAGCTGAGAAAGGTCGCCTTTTGGCGCTCGGCATGTCGGACCAGAATCGACTCGTACTCTTCGTGGAGTGCCTCGGGGGCGAATTTCAGCGATGTGGGTCTTTTGCCCGCTGCGACTTCCGCTGCCTGTACCAATGAGTAGCATGAATCGACCTGCGTGCAGGTGATGTCGAAGTCTGTCGTGAAAAGAATGTTGGAAGGGTGCCACGGGCTCTTGTTCAGCTTGGCCAGCTCCGGAACTGCCAAGCCCTTCTTGGCGAGAGATGACTCCAACAATGCCAGCTCGCACTGCAGGACGGTAGAAAAAATTCCGCGCAGTTGCTCCATCTCTGCAGGGCTCATGTCCTCCGGCAGCTTCTTGAGCAGCTCCTCTTCCATCACCGTCCTGCACGCCTGGATATGGGATGCGTCGAGCGGATTCGGCCCGGCGAAAGCTTGTGTGAGGAGATTGCTAATAGTGGCCTCCAAAAAATCGTGCATGCGCAGGACCGCGGTCCAAGGCTGAATGGCCTGGACGGGTTTCACCGATTCAAGAAACTGCTGCATCTTCTCCGCGGCAGGGTGCGTACGCAGAGTCGAATCGAAGGCGGAAGAAACCAGCGTGGAATTTCTCATAAGCACCTCCATGTGGTGGGAGACTGAAATCAATGCCTGCGCGAAGCTAGTCTCCTGAGCAATCTGGCAATTCTCAGGCTTCAGCTTCGACAATGCGAACACGTTGACGAAAGACTGCTCGCGGTCGGTTAAATAATCGGACAGAGCTGCTGCCGAAGGCAAAGCGCAGCTCATCATCGTGCCTCTGGAGCAGGGATGCTGCTGCAGCGGGGCTGCTGCTGCTGCTGGATTTCGGTCAATAAAGCGAGCTGCGTGTCCACATTCTACAGCAAGTAATCGTCGACCGATCGACGACGAGGCGCAGCGGAAAAGCTCAAGCGCCGTGTCTGCATACTCTGCAGAAAATCACCAAACTCCAATAGTGCCCCCACTCCAGGCCTCTCACGCCCGACCTGCCCACCACTTCCTGGCTACACGAAGCGAACGGGCGATGCACCTTTAAAGAGCACAGCGACCGAATAATCGCAACACAGTGCAAATCCACAATGGACCGAATGTCTTCTCGTCACGCACACCGATGCTCGAATACCCCCAAGACCCCTGTGGCCAATTTTGGCCAACTTTGGCTGGCTCCCTGACTCGCTGGCAGGCACTGTGCTCTCCCCTCCCTCCCTCCCTTCTCTCCCTCAAATCCACCCCCACCAAGAAATCTCTGAGACCCCACTGAAGCGCTAACGAGGCTTTCTTACTTAACTCACTCACTCTCAGCTGAGCTACTTACCAGCTACACCACCATCTTCAGCTTCTGACAGTCTAGGCTAGCGCTCGTCTCCTCTGCTCAGGCCATGCAATGGGGGCCTGAAGCGGTCGGAACAGGAAGCGGTAAACTGCTGCTGAATGTGAATGTGAGCGGGGCATGGATTGGTATTGGCCGTCGCGGGGGGTCTGAAATAAGACTCTCATGCAGAGGACGGCGAGCGCCACCATCCATAACGTGAAGTCTCGGAGCCTTCTGCAGATCCCTGCATATCCCACCAGATGCTGCGGGCATATTCGGGCGCGGATCCGTTACGATCTAAACCGGGGGAATATTCAGTGACCCGCGGTCCACATGTGAGTCGCGCCGACTTCCGTGTCCAGACATTTACAAAATGTGCCCCGGAGTGAATTTCTCGTGACGACGTACTTCTGGCCCGTGGCTACCGATGTCGGGTGGTCACTGACCGGCCATGGGAAATGCGCATCGTCTCTCGTAGATGCCGAAGTAGGTGCTGCGCTGCGCCCTCTATTTTACTATTTGGATGCTCTCGCTGCTGGTGCGCGTGTACTTCCGCACTGCGTGCTTGCTTGCTTGCTTCCGTCGCACGAAGAGTATGTTCCTCCGATTCCGATGATGCGGGCTCGTATTCTGGACATGGCCGATCTGAACTTGTGGACGTTCATGTCCCGGCAATAAAGCTCTGATCTTGGGTTTACAGAATATTCTCTTCTGCTTCGCGCCGCGCCGTTTATTCCCTTCCAAGCCGGAAGCTCCTTCCATCTGTAAGGTCGAATCAGACCATAACTCTGCGGCAGGTGATCTGCTGCTGGATCATGTGGATTGCTGTTAATTCCAACTGGTATCCATTTCTTTTTGCTTTCGATTTGAACACGGGTTATGTAAATTCCAATGGAATGGACATTTCAATGTAAAGAAATGAATTGGGTTTTGTTTGCTTTTCTTCATTTTCTTGCTCTTGTTGCATTGAGATCTAGTCGAACGTGTTTTCGAGATCATTACAGAAAGTCACGAACGTTTTAAGATTTTGATCATCACCATATCACATGTAAATGGGAGAGCTTTTCATTTGGCGAATGAGGTATATTATGTCAAGACGTCCGGTTTCAATCAATCAAATGGATTACCAGGGTTATGCTCAATAACATCACTTATTTCAGTTGCATTTTGACATTTTTTTAACTATGCCACATATGCAACTAAAATATCTTAAATACATAAAACAAGATTCAAAAACTTTTTTCATTCACATATGTATATATATATATATATATATATATATATATATATCACTTGCTAGAGCCCTTTATGGAGCAGTAAAATGTGTTGCATAAAACAGACTACACATTAAACTGTAACTTTAAAAATTAAAAATTTCATGTCATCTAATATGGTGATATATCCTGCATTTTCTAAGAAACATGTTAAAGTTGACATTCGTATCTTCAGAACATTTGAACGACATAAAGCTTGAATTTCTTTTGCAAAGATTTGATCATTATACACAATTTACTTGTAAACTTTGATTGATATTCTTCAACTTGTATTACAACCCCAACAAACGGATAACAATCAATCTAAAACTGTATCACATGAAATCTATAATCATTGTTTCATTATGAACATGTTCTTCAAGGATTTAGTCATAATCAACATACTATTTCACCTCATAATCAACGATATGAGTATGAATATGGTAATAATACTCATCAAACAAAAAATTTAATCTAATTAGATAATATCATAGAGCACATTAAAAGGTATGTGAGAAAAAGTTGAATTGAAGATATCAATAAAAGCAGAAGAAATCATAATAGTGGTATTAAATTATGCATGGAATAAACACAAGATATTGCAATATCACATTGTCTGCAAAAAACTTAACGTGATGGAGAACAATACCAAATATCTGAATGCAAGAGAAATTTCACATATTATATTATACACATTAGGGCTAGTTTTGTTCAAACAATGCAATGTAGATCTAGATGAATAAATACAAGAAGACGTGCCAGATTTAAAGAGCTAGAAGTTAGGCGATCAAACATGTCTAAGCTGAAGATAATAAATTGAATCATGAGATTATTGCAAAACTTTACAAGATTCACTTTTAGATGTAGTGGAAATCAATTCTGCAACTAAATTCGAATTTTTTCTACTACATACTTGCAACTTCATTTGAAATTCCTCCAAAGACAAAATGTTCTTTTGCATAATTGTAATAATTTTATTTGCAAAAAGAAACCTCCTATCCCTTAAGAATTAGAAATAAAACAACTTTGATCAACAAATTATTTTTTTCATAATATAAAATCAATAATCAATAATGGTTGATTAATAAACAAAGACTGTGTAAGGAAAATTGGAAACAAAATTATAGTAGTTTTTGGATTAAAAAAGTCTTTTGATAGAATCTTATCTAGATGAATCACCTCAAACTTTTATTATTCAACTATCATATACAATGGAAAAGAATGACAATGTGACAAACATCAAATTTAACAAATATTGATAAAAAAAATATCGGTTTTGATACTCATCATTCATATCACATTGTTTGAAAAAAATTGAGTTCAAATAAGATCATTGTAATTAATTAATTAATATATATATATATATATCATATCTTTCATGAATTATAACTACATTAAGGTGTGAATTGAAAACAACAAATATATAGTATACAAATCATAATTAACTAATTTGTAATTTGTAATTTTATTCTATTACATATATGATTTAGTATGCAATTGCATGAGCACATATAAGACACATGATGATACTTTTGAATCAAAATCTAAAATAAAAAATGTATGAGTGGCAAATAAATATACACAAGAACATTGATAGTGAAGAAAATGTTAAGCTCGGTTAAAATAGATCACATGATATTCAAAATAGAAGTAAATAAATGCTTAAAAATATTGAAGTTAACAACAAACTTATAAAAAAATTTATATTGTACGATTGATTCATGTGAACTAATAAGAAATATATCAATGTTAATTTATCTGAAAAAATAATAAAAATCATGTCTATATTAAAAAGTGATCTTCATTTTATGATGTTGACATTCATAAAACTGATTGTAAAATTTTTCCAATATCTCAAATTTTAAATGAGTACTATAGCTAACAAGTATATGTTTGTTGTCTTGTTACTCAATGAAATATGCACTAAAACGACGAAAATTACTATTTTTAAAAAAAATTCATGTATCTAAGAATTATCAACAACAGTATGACAACCTAATATAATGATATATTTTTTTTCATTTTTTCATGGATAATTATGAATACAGTTCAATATAGCAATAATTTGTGTGAAATACTATCTTCTACTAATAATATCTTCATCTTTGAATGGTAGATTTGTGAATTGATAAAAATCAATGCAAACTTTCATTATTATAAGATAAAAATTTGATACAAGTTGTAAAATCTAATTTTATGATGATTTTAAGAAAAATAATGAGATAAATAATAATGCAAAGAGATAATTGTAATATCAAATAATTTAGATCTTTTAAATATACTTTATGTTTTATTTTGACTCATCATCATAGAAGGTAAAAAATTAGTTTAATCCATGATTGATGGAAATAAAATCATAGTGTCACTAAGGACTAAATGTCTCTAATATGTTATTGAAATACTGACATATTGCTATTTCAATATTTTAAAAAATATATGAAAATACATGATTAAGTACAATAAAAAGCTAAGCAATTACGCAAGTTGATAAGCTAATCTAGTAAAATATTCAATTATGCAATTAATTTTTTAAAAATAAATCTTTTTTACTAAATAATTTTTTTCAATAATTAAAACAAAAATAACGTATCAAATACTTTTACACTTTTCGAAATACTTCATTTTTCAATTAATTAAAACTCATTAACCTTTTGTATATGTATAAAAATCACAAACATAAATTAAGAATCATTAAAAAAAAAAATTTTTTATATAGCTTAATTTATATAGAATATTTCTATATATAATATGTAAGATATTTTTTACATTATATAATAAAAAAGAAAAAAATTATGCAATATTAAGCTTTTAATGTAATGAATTGTATTAATTTGATCTTATTAATAGTAATTATAGATTTTTTTAAATAGAAGTTTTGCTCAAGGAATGTTTGGATACTTGAAAGTAAGTATTTTTAAGTAGTACAAACAAATCTGAAATAATGAATCTAATTTATGTCTCAGAAAACTTATATAACCCCACATTATCACAAAATGATAAGCGATCATATTTGTACTTGAATGATCATCTATTCCAATGCATAATTTCATGTGCTATCATTCTTATATTTAAGCTGTTAATTTCAAAGCAATTGAAATTCAAAACCTATGAATATCTTGATGAATTTGTGACAGATGATGCAATCTTATAACTTGGATTGTATATACAAATTTGTGATTTAGTTTCAAACCTTTCATAATCTTTTCCACATGCTAATTTCTGAATAAACAGAAATGAGGAATCCAATTGTTAATTTCATTTCACTTCATGTATATTTTGATTTCATTTACTCAATATCGTCATCTTATTCTCAACCTTCTTAGAGAGTAATATATTTAGTTCCTGTTAATGTATAAATTTATTTATCAACTTCTACCACAGTTTCAATTTCTGTTGTATTCTTATCATAAAAAGTATAGAGTATAACGAAATGAACAAATTTTGATAAAACTCCTTAGTATATCTGTCTAAACTCTGCAAGGAGAAAAATTAAGCATACAAACGGAACATAAGATACACATCTGAGAAAGAAAGAAATGAGAAGAGAATATGTATCTATTTCACATAATTATATGATGTAATCTAAAGATTTTGATTCAAATTATATATTTTCAATGCTGAGATTTAATTATTCAATTTGATCAAGACAAGTTGTTAGAAATATCATTTCAGTTTTACAAATAAAAGGATTTATTCTTGCTTCTATTTTATTAATAATAATTTAAATAATGATAGTAAACTAATATGAAATATTTTTAATCATTTTCTAACCTATATAAATATTTTCACAAAATAAAAAATACTAGAAAAAATTAATTTTCTTTTAACAAAGCTGATAATTTATGTTAATATACTGAACCATACTTATATGAAGTTTACTTTAATTTGGAAAATCCATGACATATTTATAGACTTGATAAATATACTATTTGAGACTAGAAAACCCTTGAATATTTAATTGGAATACTTCTAAGGAAGAATGGTTCCGTCTCAGGAATCTAGAATTTTAGCATGCATTTCAACATCAGGTTTTCATTCTATTTTTTCTTTATATCGTTATGATTTCTTGATTCCATAAAAAATTTATTTTATTATATATTTTAAAGGCAGAATTTTATTTTAATTGCTCCAATTCATTTTGACTACAATTCAGTTTAATATTATGTTTAACTCTGTAAGTTGAATTATGAGATAAATCGAGAGATGTTTTACAATCTTTGATTCAAAACATTTGAAATACTTAGATGTTTAAAACTACGTTGAAATTTTCTAAAAATGGGATATAATAAATTTTTAAAATGTTATGTGTTTCCATTTCAGAAATCAATTTCTTAAGCTTAAATGATTTCGAACTTCCATCATTGATTACTTCTTAGAAATTATGAAGATAAATTTTCAAGATCTCAAATAAGCCAAACAAATATGTTGTTAATTTTTTTTGAGTTGTAGTGAAATGTTATAATAAATCTCTACATGGTTAATTTTTATTTCATTATTGAGATTGAATAAAAAGTAGTTTAACAACAACAAGTTGTAAGTACTTAGGTATTATTATAGATTACCACTAACAAACAATTGTGATTTATTAGTTACTAATCTTATAAATGTAATGATTTTCACAATTTTTACTATAGCTTTTGAACTCATTGAAATTGTACTTGTGACTTAATGTTTACATGATTCACCAAGTTTTGAAGTGAATACAGATTGTATCGACTTTGGTACGTCCTCATGATTTAAAGAAAATACAAGACAGTGAAAAACCATCCCATAATTATCACCTTACACACATGAAAATATTCATTTCACAAAAGTACATATTTTGAAAAATATATTCATATGTGAAGTATGTGAATTATTTGCACGATTATAGTTATATTTCATATAACTATTTCATCCACTTGTATTATGAGTTACTAAAGGTGATGAAGTACTTGAAGATAAGTCACCTAATTTAAATTCAAATCTCACGAATGTTTGACAAAACAAACTTACATACATCTTTCATGAAATCTATATCACAATGTGTGAAAAATGAAGCACGTATCTATCTAAAAAATGTGGGATCTCAAAATATGGGAAGATATCCACACATCTTTAATATTGAAATAATCGTTTCAAGTATGTGCATGAAATATTTTTCTACATATCAATTTCCACAAGAAGTATAGTAAAAGATTTCTATTGGTTTTGAGAATATAATTATAAATATTTTAATTCATAAAACTCATGACAAGTAAGGGATTTGGACGTTTTAAAACAAATTTTTGAGACATAGAATTTCGCTAAAATTTGTAATTGTTCCGAGAATGAAGTACAGGATTGCTATTTCTCATTTAGAGTAATTTGCTTCACAACCTTGCCCAGGTTTATCACGCACGATGAGATAAATTGATCCCGATTCAAATTTCCAATATCCTATGTTCTTGGGAGAAAAAACTGTGATCTCATCAAACAGTAAGTGTATATGTTGATGATATATACAACGTGAGGAGTGTTATATGTGTTACATTTTATCAACTCACAAATCCACAATAAACTGAATAAATTTTCTTATCCTGATTGTTTCTTCGTATACTTTTTCTTGATTACAGTGTCGAAAAATTTACTCAATCCTTGATATTTATTTCAAATATAAGTCTAGATTTTCATAAATCCTTAAAAAAGAACAGAAACTAAGATAGGTGTTTTGAATGCGATAGCACATGAACAATTACCACTACAAGTATCGAATTCGAGAAAGGATCTATATATTTGGTATGATCCGTTTTAAAACAAGGGTAAAATCACTGACAAGGATTTCTTAGACCTTGAGAGAAATTCCACCATTTTTCAAAATGTATCTAGAAGAGCATTTTCAACGGGCTTTTTTTTTGAGCAATCCATCTCAATTGATAAACATTTCGTTTCTGTTCTTTTCATATTCTCACATGTATGTCTGAAAAGTGCTTGGTATGAGAACATTTTTGAAGAATCAAATTCGAGAAAAGGTCCTGTGCATTAGATGGGTACAACACATCTGCACGTCAAGATTTCTTTGATTACAAAAAGTGATGTATCATAATCAAGAGTACGAAAACTTGTTATAATTAGTCGTCACACTTGTCACAACTCCGAATTTTCGGGAAAAGAAGCGTGCGACAACGGTGAAGTCGCACTGTATTCACGTATACATTAAGCGTGTGAGGCAGCTCTGCCACAGGACTGGCTACACGAATGCCATGCCAAATAATTTCTGTTTCGCTTGCGCTGCTCGCAAGATATATTTATTTCAGTGGCGCACGACGTCCATGAATTATGAAATGAATAAACTTTCACCCTCGCGCCTTTTTCAAGGAGTTCGATTGGGGGAAGAAACAATTAATGGACTCAGAGGAACGCAGAAAATGCCAAGTGGTGAAGTGCATGGCCATACGGTGCGTGGTGGACTGCGTACGGCATTCCATCTGCGTGCGGCTCAGAGGCGCCGCACCTTCTTCGGCTGTACAGATCTGTCGATCCCCAAAGCTCAAGCTCGTGATCAGAGCCCAGCATTGGGCACCGGCTTTCGCATCAACCTTCTCCCGTACATAATGATGAGGAATTGGCGCCGACATGAAGCGGTATGGTTTTTCTTCCGTGGCAGAAAATATGGAATCCGAAATGGCGGATTGAGTATGATAGCGTCGAATCTCGACGTTGGAGTGACTTGTGTGAATCTTCCCGAGTTCCACTTTAGAAAAGAATTCCGTTATCTGTGATGCGACGAATTGTTTGTCGTGGGTCCATACGATATCTGGTTCCTGTGTACCCATTTGCTCATCGTTGGAACGACATGTTCCTAATACTTAGCATCAAGGAAGCCTGCAATGCGTCACTGGGTTGCACAGGGAAGAGAATTTTCGCTTTCATTTGAAGATGCCCCACCCGAGTCTGCGATCCTTATGACTCGAACCGAGAAGGTTGACTTCAGCGATCCGAGCTTCAAATGGACTGAATTGAACAATACGATGGGATCTCTATGAGGTCAGCCGGATAGATTGCGCCCGAGGGCGGCTTGAAGTCGCTTCTGCCTTTTTCTCAGAAAGCGGTTTCATCAGAGAGAAGTAGTTAAGGTGATCATGAGAAGTAGGTGATCTGAGCAGACTTGCTCGATTTTAAGACTTTGTAGCATGGTGGAATTCTAGTTCAATCCGCGTACGGCCCCTCCACAGATGAGAGCCAGGTGGAGCCTCAGGATGAACAAGGGTTAGCCCAGTTTAGCAAGACACTAGCAGCTCGTTTCGCATGCACGAGGAACAACGCTCTCTATCTGAGGTCGATTGGCCCCTTTGGCCCCAAGAGATCCAAATACAATATCCATGCGTTCTTTTATTAATGGTAGTGGCTCGAACGACGGCAGCGACGGCAGCTAGAGCTCCAAGGAAGAGCCATCGAGGTTGGGCAGCTTTAGCAGTGTCTGGTGGAGTGACCACCTCGACTCTGAAACTTCCTGATTTTGATCATAGTTTAATGCTCAATGTACCTGAAAGAAGAAAGCGTTATCTCTCTGCGTAGCGTAGAACATTTCAGGTGTAGCTCAGTCAGTAGGTGAGAGAGAAGATGAACTAGGAACTGCTAGAGGTGCTGGAAAGCAGTAGCCACTCATGAATTTTATGCTCAGAAGGAATAGAGTCCAACCTCTTCGGCCTTTGTTTGGCTGGTACCCGACTACCAGACCGAACCTGAACTCGACGAAACTCGTGGCCGTGTCCTTGCCGTGAAAAAGGGGCAGCTTCCGACTTCTGGAGCATAGCCAAAACGATCTAGCCAGTGGACTCCTCCCGAGACTCAGGTCCAACTCTCATTTCCCACCGTGGCATGTTGATAAGATCTGGTAAAGTACTTCAAGCACATAGGACAGACTCCGACCCAGACCTTGTGCTTCGAATTCTGGATCATGATTGTGTACTGTACTTTGTAGGGTATGTATACTTCCCTCTTTGTTGCTTTCTTTCTGCCACTTTGTCTTTTCACTTCTTTGGTCTTAAATCTGTGACTGCATAATTCTTCTTTCTGGTGGAGTCTGCCGTCAGCGTTGTATTTGTCCATTTTTGGGATTTTTTTTAATGAATATGATGCAAAAGCCCTTGAGAAAATGCGTGGAAGTTCGTCCCCGCTATGATTCTGATCTCTGATCGGTTCAAGCTGCTGAGAACAAATGGCTCAATCTTCTGAAACAGTTCTCTGTCTTGGGATACTGGAAAACTCAAGTTGACCTTACAATTTGGAAGTACGTCCACATCTCGAATCCAGCATGCTGTAACCATTAGCCCCATTGGATTCGGGTTGCCAAGTGGAGTTACCATCATCACAACCGGACAGAGCCTATTAGCATAATACGAACTTGGATTGTGGCTTCCAATTCCAATTCCACTTGGTGCTGTCGATTTGATGAGCAAGCGAAATTCGTATCAATCAAAGTAAACTCTTGCCGTGCAATTGCTGAACGAAGTTCGTGCAAGGGGACATATTCGCCCACCAGAACTAAAGTTGGACGGCAGTACGAGAATGAATGAGTGGTACGGTCAGATTGTACAAGTTAACCGGTCCTCATTGAAGTGTTGCATTTTGAGGTCACGTGTAAATGAAACGCGACTCTCGTGCCTCAGTCACGAATATTGAAATATTGCGCGCGTTGGAGATTCCTTTGATGCTTGACTTTAACTTCGATTAAAGTTCCGCAACTGGTGTTGCCTTGGTGGAAAACTACGGTACATCTTCGAGATGGGTAGAGCTACAAGCTTGATATCAGAGAACTGTCAAAGCTTCGAGATGACCTCTTGATTCTGATCATGTCCATTGTTGTCATTATTGTCCTCCTCTCGGCCGGACATACACGATTGTGTGAATATCTTGATCTGAACGGGAATGATGTACGCCCCGTTTTATTACTCCGTATAACATTTTTGAATGCCTTCTTCTATGGATCCCGGGAGAAACCATTTTTCCAGTCCAGAAGCGTGATTCTAGCTCCTTCCTCATCATCCCTGGGGTTTAGCCTGTTCTCCAGGCCCGGGATTCTCTCGCAGAAAATTTTCCTCCTCTTGTGCAGTGGATCAGACGATGATGGAGAAAGCACACTACTTAAGAGACGCACTTGCTGTTGTTTCAGTCTCAAGGTTATGGCACTTTCATCAAGGATGTTATGATTTACAAGTCTAAGGATGGAAGTTTCTGTGATTGAAGCTTGAAACGAGCCATTTGGATATGTTGGGATCCTGAATGAGAGGTCCGCTGTTCTTCTTGTGAAAAGACGCGAACCCTTTGGTTTTCAATAAAATGAGTAGTTGTGGGTAATTCCTACTGCGTGGGAAGGGTTGCTTGTAGTCTGCAATAGTGGCTCTGGTGGATGTGGTGCGTGACTCGTGTCCGTCTGTCAGACATGAAGATTGTATTAAGGAATCCCTCGGGAGTTTTCAAAAAGAATATCCACCGTTTTGAGCATATGAAATGAATGTCCTTAGCAGGACTTCAGATATAGCAGGTATGTGAGTGGGTATCTCTCCCATCCAATCACATACCACAAGCTGCGTCTAGCGAATGGACTGAAAAATCTGCTCCAAGTGAGCGGCAATTGGAGGCAAAGTGGAGGTTTCATCACCGAATTCTCAACAGATAGGTTTCGATCCAGCATCATCAAAAACAACTGAATCGATATGACGATTATGCTACAGATTTCTCTCGGGATAGGACAACGCGTCATTGTATAGCTGGGAAGCAGGTGGTCTCGAATCGGCCCGAGAAGAATAACAGAACTGTGAAAAACGTGGTTCATACATTTCGAAGCAAGCTTTTCTCAACGGTAGATAGATAGGCATGTTATGGTCCACTAGAGGGGTCTTGGATCTCGTCTCTTATCGTCTCTGCTCTTCACGGAATTCCACTGTACGACGAAAACAAAGTCTTCGACAATGAATGCGGTAGACTCACAGCAACAGAAAAGGTCATCACCTTCTTACATCGAAGAGGACAAAGTCTCCCAACCAAGAGCCAGGTAAATAACTGGCCTTCAGTATTGAGCATTCTGGGCGAACGGAGTATAGTGTGGCAACAAGGTTGGAAATTTCGAGCTAAGCCAAGAAACAATCACAATTCTTTCGAGGAAGACTCAATTCAGAGTTTCTCACATTGTTAACAGAAGTCAACTCTTCTTCTAAAGCCTCAATCAGTGGACGTTCAGGATGGAGATGATGGGGTAGGTGGACATGCATCTCTATCTTAGGATTTCTGACAATTTCATTCGATAGCTTCCAAAATCTCGTGGAAACGTTTTAGAAACAGTCGATCTATGCCAGTAACAGCGGAAGTATACTCCATCGTTTTGCTCTAGCTCGTTTTTGATCATTTAGTGCTATCAAACTAGACCGTACCTCTGGCTGAATATCTCCATCTACCTTGGTACTATCAAAAGAACCATGTCTAGAGCTGTCATTGACCCTACAACTGGCACAAAAATCTAGGAACAGTTGCCTTTTTGAGTGAGTTCAATGAGTTGATTCAGAAAGTAAAACCACCTCGCGTAATTCCAACAAACTTCATTTTCATCCTCAAAGATGCCACCTCGGAGTTCAAGAATGCTTCCTGAAACTGAGTTGGAAAACTCCGTCGTCCAAGATACCGAAGATTAAGCAGAATTGTTTTCGAATCTGCAAGTCGGAAGTGGATCTCAAGGCTTTCACAACAGTATGAGCGTCGAGGGATGGTTCGAGATACGATACCCACTGAACCTGGCGACGGCGAAGTCCTTTTTGGAAAGTCTCAGGTCTCAGGTCAGCGCAGATATATGAGTGATGTGTCAAGTTCAGTGTATAAATCAGGATGGGGAGAAGCTGATAATTGAGTTCAGCTTCTCTTTTCTGTATGTGATCACTCTTGCGGCACAGTCTTGGATTCCAGTTCAGAATTTTCTCAGAACACTCACGGCTGCTCGTCTTCTTATTCAGGATTGGCAACTTGGGTATGAGAACGTCTGCGAACCACGTATTGAACTGCAGAGCTTGGTAGTGGAGGCATTGTTGGAGAAAAATCGTAAAGTTGCTGAAGAAGTGCATGGTTAGTGCTGTTTAAATTGAGTTCGTACTTGTCTGATATCCTTCTTAACTTAACCACATGTCGAAATCGTTGACGACTCTAGTTATTCAATATATGAACAATGTAGAGTAGTGGAGAATATTTTATGGTCATGTGTAACTGCCAGAAAGGTCTTTCACTGCGGATTACGTCTTTTTCTCTCACATGCCCAGAGTTAGCTTTCGATGTTTTAGAAAGACGTTTCAGTTCTGAAACACTAGCTTGTCCGGGCATATCCACAAATGCTGGGGATCCAGTCATGAAACCTCCAGCAACGTGAAAAACAAAAGCGATCCGCATGTCGAGGTGGCGCCTCGAGTGACCAAGTAGGCGAGCATCTCTGAGAGATAAACTCACGGAGGACGACGACGGCGAACCGTCTGTCTCAAACAGGCATTGCAACAAGAACCAAGGGACTACATGAACTGCACCGCCTGAGGTTGTGTAGACGTCTACTCCGTAAGTCATTTTGATCCTTTTGGATATTCTGAATTTTGACATATCGAACGGAATGTATCAGCCTTCTTGAATTTCATGGGAAAGAAAGGCTGGCTCATAGTCTACGGAGTTGATAATTATTTAATGTATACATATTTCATCCTGAGGAGACCAATCGAAGCCCGAACTTGATTGTTGGAGTATGCAGAAAGAAGCTGAAGTGCTGCTGCATGCACGATTATATCACAAGCAAGGACAGGTACTCGTGAGGTCTCAAGTCCACGGATGTCACTTCCGCTTCCCAGATATACTCGGGAATATAGCCGCAGTTGGACTGAGGTGATACTCGTGGTCTTGTTTGCAGTCCTATCCTATGGAGTAGTGGAGTCACTATGCATGCAAGCGTATCGCAAGAGACAGATGTAGTCTCACGTCATTCTATTGTCGGATGTCGTGAAGTCTTCTTCGAACTTCATCACACTTCGGTGGACTTGCGGACTTGCGGACTCACCGTGTCAACAGTATCCATCACCCTGCTAGTTTTAAAGATTTGCTACGCATCTCTCTTATCTCGTGACGTGCTCAGAATTCAGGGCAAGTTCTCGGAGAAACTTCACTGTTCCGTAGGCTCAAGCACCGTTTCATGTATCGAAATATTCCCTCGTCCAAATCGGCCAAAACGACGGAAAGCATCTACAACTCCTGACTGTGATTACTTATCAAGGGGGTGATCGCTCCTGGAATGTGCTCGCCATGCATTCTCTGTCCATGAATTCAGCTTAACGTCAGGCACTTGGCTCACCAACTATAAAACTTCTCTGCAACAACTAACAGATCGAAGTGTCACATACACTAAGGGCTGGTCACACTGCCACATCAAGATCTGATCTGCACTTCTCACCGTGAAGTGTGTTACTCCTGGAGATCCAAGCAGAGAGAATTTACGGTTGACTCGGGCGCAGGGTGTGGCGACTCGTTTGGTCCCGTCCACATCGTAGGGTTTGTTGACAAACGGACAAACGGATGTCGTGCTTTCACAGGGCGGAAACTCGTCACGACCACCGACGTGATGTGGCACCACCGCTGAGAGGAACTTCGGAGCACGCATGTATTGCGTGCTCCGTATGTGGCAAACCGTTCAAGTTCTCATAAAGCTATGGCGACTAGATCGCTGGATTTCACGTGGAAACAATCCAACCCCAAGAGTTCTCCGCACACATTTAAGTCAGAACTGCGAATCTGATAATTGCTTGCAGAACCTCATGATGCTGGAACTCTCTTCAGGTTCTCAACCGTGAGCATCTGAGGCCAGGGCACCTTCAAAAGTCATGGCATTGTGTGCCTTCTCATGATATCGATGCAGTCCGTTTGTAGGAAAGCATCAGCTCCAAAAATTGATAGTCTATTGCTTTGAAATGTCTTTCTTCACGTGTTTGTTTGTTACCCTCAATAATGACACAAAAAGTTGACCTCGAGTCGGTCGAGAGAAAAGCCGGAGGGAGGCAAAATATTTGAGGTCGGTCTTTCACGGTGGAAATCTTCCGCATGCTTATGCTCAAGTACACTTATGGTGTTGAAAGAGCTACGGATGCAAACCATGTGTTCAAAGTATTTTTCTACAAAGATGTGAGATCAATGATCGGTCAAAAGATTTAATATCTAGGCTAAGAAAGATGTACAAGCTGACAAAACCAATCACCGAAGCATATGCGGTATCAGTCAGATCTCCTACAGCTTGCATTGGACCGCATTGCCTAAAGTTCAACCGACAATAAAGTTGAATACAGAGACAAACGTATTTTAATTCGTAATGAGATTCAACATGGAGTTCTCTATCTTCCACAGATTCTGCTCATGTTGTTGACCTGAGACGGATTTTGACCTCAAAGCAGTATATCCGTTGCAGAGTGTAGGTTAAGCGACCTTACCTAGCACCAAGTCATTCTCACCCTTAGGCTCAGCCTCAGCCTCAGCCAAGTGCTCTAGGTCCATGCAACACAGTACACCCTATTTTCATCTTCTTCATGTATGTTCAGGTTTTTCCTTTTATGAGCAAGTTCTTTTTTCTTTCTCTTTTTCCCACCAAGTTGCGAACTTGGTGGTGGTTTCAGATACTCTGTTACTTTCTTCTTGGATACGCAAGTGGAGCTACAATAGCAAATGTATAAAAGTGTAGAGTGGAAACATCCATTAATTTTGAATTCCTCTCGACTTAAAGTTATGGATATCAACTCCAACAGCTTTGTGAGAGAGTGTGTGAAGGCTGAACATACTAGGCAATATGAGTATCACGTTTTTAAAGTTCATTTTGTACTATTTATTGGAATTTCATGTTTCATTGTTACATGGAAAATTACTAGTTATTGCTATATATATATATATATGTCAATCAGCTAAAGCTTCTTTGATTATTCTTATTATCTGTAGAATGTTATAGCTAAATTATAAAACAATTTAGGTGTAATTATATTTTTTTCATTGTGATGGTTTTAAATTGTAGCCATTTAACTCCATTTTTGTTATTTTTTTTCGCATTCTTTTAGTGATAATTGATTTTCTTTTGATATTAACATAAATTGATTCCTTTCATACAATCTGAAGATTTTTATGATTCTTTATACCAAAATTATCTAACTATACATGATAACATTTGTAAAAATTGATACAATGTTCGGTGCTGACTTGATTCTCGGAGGAATTACACACGAAATCTTGTGGCCGATGCCTTCAGGTGACTTGTAGCTCGGATGTACAATGGCAAGCCAATGTCGTGTGGTGTGAAGTCCTGTAATCTAGCGGACATCAAATCCGTAAGGAGTTCACAAACTTGCATCATAACTATAAACCCCTGCACCTACAAATGAAAAGGAGACGCATAGAATAAAAGGCACGATGCAACAACCTGCACCTACTACAGTACAGCAGTGGTCGACCACATCCAAAAAGGATGGACGTCGATGGAACTCTTAGTTGCAAGAGTCTTCAGTTCACAGCAGCTGATCTCTTGGAATATCGACACGAGTACTTGTGTCGATATTCTAAGGCCATGCAAACAGGGAAGGAGAAGGGTTGGAGATGAGGTTGCTGGAAACTCGGCATGAAGCTTCAGAGTGCTCTAACGATCTATCCTGGGAAAGTGCTAACGTGAGATGTGCCATGCCTTCAGCAGCTGACGTCATTGTTCAGGACTGAGCATGGACCTCCTCCCGACCGATGTATCAGAACTTTCCGTCTACCAAAAATGTACCAGGTATGCTGTATTCGTGTACATTCATCATCTGATATCGTTGATTCTACTGCCCCTATCGGGGACCTCACGAATATCCAACTCCAAGCAATCGAATTTCTACCAGTTACCAGCGGCCTAGAGTTGGCAGTGGCCATTTTTACGCCGACAAACATGAAATCCTCTCGCATAAACCCGAGCCTCAGACAGAATAATCTCGAAAACCGAAGGCTGCAAATAGCTCTTCTCTCCGCCAACTGCATCGCTCTGACAGTTTAGTCTGACCGACTGAAACGAAGCCTCGGATGCTCTTCATCGGAATATCCCTCAACCGCTTTGAACTGGGGGCTATCGAACGAGGAGGCAGAAGGGACGTTTCCTGGCCGCCAGTTTGGAACGCTCCCCACCTGGAGGTGGACGTGTCCGAGAGCACGGCTCGTTTAGCTGAGGTGGCCGACTCACTACACGACAGATTAGAGTGGCGACCCGGGGGCATCCCCTGAATCTTCCGGAATAACAAGAAGACCTGCCCCTGGGCCCGGATGCTGCCCGTACCTTCCGGACGTAGCGAACAGCGGCAGACGACGGGTTACCTCCACGTCCTCCGAGAGGAGACGCCGAGGTGGCTAAAGTACCTGGCGGCAATAAAGGACCGAAGTAGATAGGCTCAGACGGGCTGCCGTTCAGGTCGGAGGATCTTCGTCGACCGCGGTGGAGGATATACTGTGACGTGGTCAGCTGTTGGAAAGAGTTAGCTCGCGTGCAAGGTGTGCCGGTTCACGGAGGGAGGAGCCTGAAGGGAGGACTGCACCTGCCGGTGGTTGCCACCGGGAGCGAGCTTGATCTCGGCGAGGTGGGCGACGAGGACGAAGAGGGCCGGCGAAGGAGGCTGCACCCGGAGCGATGCGAATCGTCGGATGCGATACGGACGGGGCGGATGCAGAGGGCCAGAATCCATTACTTACATCGGATAATCGCCACGCCACGTGTGCGGCCGGCACAGGCTGGAAGAACATGGCCCCGGGGAGGAACTCCCGCAGGCCTCACACGGCCGTCAGATGCAGAGCTCGACGGCCCGCGCCCGGTGGAATTTTCCAGATCCGAAAACCGACGCCCGTCGCTGGATCGAGATCGAACGGCTCCGCGTGACCAACGGCATCGATGGATTGAATCTCCTGAAGGAGAAGGAGCGTCGCAGTCCGACGACCGGGACTCGACACGTGGTGTGACGGGTACAGTACCGATCATCATCAGACAGACCTGGGAAGCCCGAAACTTGCGATACTGCCTGCTCGCACATGATACGCATACGATTCTGCTCGCATATAATACGCATACAATCGTATGTCAACCTCAGTATCTCCCCATGTACTCCCGGAGGTCCGAGTATAGTAAGTGTCTTAGTGTACGCCCGCGACTAAGCCTGCAGCATTAGCAACCGCTGCCTAGTCCCCCCTCCTGGTGGAAACTCTCGGAACGAAAGACGCACGGGGCTTAAAGGAGCTCGTGAGGGTCCGAGGGAAGGAGGAGAGAGAAAGGATCTGACAGAGAGCGGTGAGGAAGGGAGAGAGAGAGAGAGAGAGAGAGTGGAAGAGAGGAAGAGGAACAGGGGAGAGAACAGGGGAGCGACGAAAACGTCGTGGACGGTGTCGAATGCGACCGAGGAATTGGATTTGGATTTGGAGTAAGAGTTGGAATTGGAATTGGACGAGGAATTGGAGGAAGTGGGATTTGGGATTGGCGAGTGGGACGATCGGAACGGGGAAGGAGGCGATCAGGTGGTGAGACGGGGATGGAAGTCGTCGGGATGCGGCATCCCGGTGGTCATTATCATCAGCATCAGCATCAGCAAGCTGTGTCTGCCGCAGTGGCGATGGTGGCGAGCAGCAGCGGGAGCAGGAGGGTTCCGTTTCTGAACGTGTTCGCTGCGACGAGAGAGGTGACGTTCCCGCTCAGGGCGATGAGGACTGTGGCGTTCGCCATATCGTCGCTCGTCTCGTTCATCCCCGTGTGGAAATTGTACCTTCCCGGGTACTGGCTGTCCAAGAGTGGGTTGGATTTCGGGTACAGGTTGTTCGGGCAATCCAAGTCGCCCTCCGGTGCCGCCGCCGCCACTGCTGTCGCCGTGAAGGCTTACAATGAAGTGAACGACCCTCTAGTGCGACGGGGTTTAGCTCAAATTGCGCAAGTGCTTGGAGCGCCGCTGTGCACAGGGAGTGTGGTCACTGAGCGGCGAGTGTGTTCGTTCGTCAACTCGCGGAAACAGACCATGTTCACTCAGTCATGGATTCCTGCCTCAACCGAGAGCATGAAGTGAGTGCTCATCATGTCTGTCATCCTCTGTGCTCTAGATTCGAGTTGGTTTTTAGTTGTCGTCCGATTGTGCTCCAATTTCGCCGAGTGTTTTCGAAAATAGTGTGCCGATAGGGCAGGCCGATCGTCATCTTTCGTGAAGGAATTATAGCCCTGGACGCTCAGATGGTCTGGAAGATGTAGTGTGCCAGTGTTCTCTTTTCTTATGGCTCCTGCGTTTGGTCCACGGCTCGGGCAGAAGTTGAAATTAGAGCGCTGACTCGAAATTTGTCAGTCTCACGGACTCAAATTTGCCCTACGCGATCATTTTTGGTTCAGCGATGAGTTGCCCTTGAGGCTGTCAGTATCCCCGAGCTTGAAATTTAGTACTTTCCAGCTTTGAGATGTCTTGCTTCGTGTAATTGTGATTTGCGCTACGATTTGGGCGGGAATCGGTAGTTTTATCGACGGAGGTAACTTGGGTTCGTGGATCGTCCGAAACCTAAGCGAACTGCCTTTTGATCGATCGCACTATCATTAGTCCATCGATAGGGCGATGAATTTCCATCTTCAGCCAACATTGCCGTCACTTTTTATCCTTCTGTTGTCGTTCTCCCATGAATCAATTAATCGTCATTTGTGTTTTTGCGCGTGCTAGGGTCATGTCTCAACATGATTCCACTAGGGTTGCTCTCTCGGATGATGAGGTGTGTCATTGATACCAGGAATTGACTGAGGTCGTGCTTGTGTCGTCCGTTGTCATTGTGCAGAGGATTGGTAATACTTCTACACGGGTTGAATGAGCACAGGTACGATTGAACCTCACGCGCTCAGAAATTTCTTCCATAACTTTTTAGAGAAATCCGCCCTTTTCATAGCCGGCATTTAGCTAGAACGAAAATTTTGGGGATCGAGTGAATGTGCTACGTCAGCTTGGGAAGGAGATCATGCTTCCATCCAGTCAATCGTGTGTAATCTCATTCTGTGTATGCGTACTCCACATGATGCAGCGGGAGGTATGCCTACTTTGCAAGTCAATTGAATGCGGAAGGATATGGAGTATTCGGCATGGACTGGAGTGGTGAGTTGGAAGACATTCTCTGCTCGTGGAGTGTTTACAAAACCGGCGATTCTCGGTGGATTTTTGACATGAAATTTCTGCAGATGGTATCGGTGCCTTCTCTAACGCCTTAGAGAATTGCCAAACAATTGTTGTCATGCTTTGCCGCTCAGGTCACGGTGGAAGCGACGGACTACACGGCTACGTGGAATCGCTGGATCAAGTAGTGCAGGACACGGTAAGCAGGGCACATCAAATCCACACTTCCTTTCAGTTCCACCGTTGCCGAGTGGGAGATGATCTGTGCCGGTCATTCAGCAGCAGTATGAGATTGTTAGAGACTGTCGGTCTGTGCGTGGAGTCCAATTCCGCGGTGGTTGCTTGCTTTCTGTTGTGGCGAGGGCAGCTTTTTGGATTCGGTCAGATTTGGGCTACGTGGGACGGATGGTTTCTGGAGTCTCATGTCAGTGCTTGGCTTTCGTTCTATGGTGCAGAAACTTTACATGAAGCAAGTGACTTCTGATTATCCTAATGTTCCTGTATTTATCTTCGGACATTCCACGGGGGGAGCCATTGCCCTGAAGGTGTGTACATCCTGCAACTGCACTGTCATGAAATGATTTAGTCGCTGACCTGGAATTTTTGTCGATCCGGGCTGTCCGATGAATGAATTCTAATAAAGTGCTTTTTGACGGCAGACTTCGGTCTTGGCAAGCGATGAAACGATGCTGAAAGGCGTGGTGCTCACATCTCCTGCAGTGAGAGTGAAGCCATCGCACCCTATAGTTGCGGTGCGTTCCCTTCCCCTTCTTTTCCTACTTCGTATTTATTTATTTAAGGTTCATGCGATGTGTTCATCTCTTGCAAGCTCAAAAATCCCATGATGAAGAAGACGTGAAGTCCTCGCTCGCCAATCCGGGATCTGTTGACTCAGGCAAAAGGTGTCCTGGGTGATTCTCCGCCAGAAACAGAGACACTTTCTGTTGCTTACTTTATTGGACACAATCATTTCGAGACGGCATCGACACCAAACTCGACTCGGTCGATGCCTCCGTTGACCTGCTCGAGGGACTTCGTACAAACTACGATCGAGAGTATGAAACTGCTCTGATAACATCTCGTCTTCGATGAAGTAGTGGGAGGCTCCAATTATGGCAGTAGTGTGCACCAGTCTTCCGTGGACGAACATGGACTCCAGGATATGAAACGAATGCCGTCTCCTCTTGCTCTCTGCCAGTGGAGAAGTGGTTCCGTCCACGCTCGTCAATCAATTCGCATCTCGCTGTTTGGACAGGAGACGAAGTGCAGACCTTCGCGACGACGAGCATTGACTTGGGGGCATTATGAGGGAACATCATCGACGCGACGCGTGGGGATGGTCAAGGGGGAGGAAGGAAGGAGGGTCCATGTGGCCTGCCTGTCTGGGATGACCTGGCGTGACATGAATTCCGGTGTGTCTGACGAGGCGCGACTGTGGTGGTGACTGTGCAGGCGTTGGCTCCAATATTTTCAATCCTGCTACCACGGTACCAGTTCAAGGGAGCGGCGCGATCGGGAGCCACGGTGTCGCGGGACCCCATGGCGCTGGTGGCCAAGTACAGCGACCCGCTGGTGTACACGGGACCCGTGCGCATCCGCACGGGCACGGAGATTCTGAGACTGGGCGCCTTTCTGACGAAGAATCTGGAGAAGGTGACGACGCCGTTCCTGGTCATGCACGGGTCGCACGACCAGGTCACGGACCCCGACGGGTCGCGCGAGCTCTACTCGCGAGCCTCGTCCCTCCACAAGGACATCCAGATCTACGACGGCCTTCTGCACGACCTCCTGTTCGAGTACGAGAAGGACGAGATCATCCAAGACATCATCCGCTGGTTGGACTCGAGGCTGCAGCTCTAGCTCCACATCTCGATCTATTCGATCGATCGTTAACTTCATCCTTCTCTGTCCCTTCTCGGTCGTTCTAACTCAGGGACCAGCGATGTATTATTGTGAACTTGGACACTCGGCTCAAGAGTTGCATAGTGTCTGGTCTAAGCGGCGATACTCGATAAGTAGTAGGAAGATTTACGCATCAGAGATTTAGACAAGTCCCAGGCCCCCCCGAAATACGGATTTGTAGAGAACCTTGATAAGTACGTAGGTCTGGATGAGTGGAGATGGCGAGGTGACGACGTGCCATTGGATTGGCTGCTCGACCTCGCGTCTCGGATCTGGGGAAAAAAATTTATGTAGCGGGGTGCAGGGCGGATCATTCTAGACTTGATCTCGTGAGAATTGAACAGTCGATTATTATAGTGTGCCGGCCGAGCCTACCAACGCTAAGCTTGATTCAGCTCCAGAGAGTGGGCTCGAGCAAGGTCGATATAGAGAATCATTCAATGGTGAGGAGAGGAAAGAAGATGAGAGAAGATATTGCGGGCGTCAGCGCGGGTGTGCAATTAAGTCCAGCATTGTTACTGGATCCGTATGCGTTATAAATATGTTAGTGATTAGGATTGCTGGCAGCTGCTGCCCTTATTGAAAAGCGACTTCTGGCTAAAGCCGAGAAGAGCCGCATGTTGTACCATGAACCTTGTGGGCGAAGTATAAACTTGTAAATTTTAAAGCGGATATGGAATCGTGCTTTCCCGTGAGGAAGAGCTGAAGTGTTTTGTTCGATTGAAGTCGACCGGTTACGGTGCGGATTTGAGCGTACATCGGTTGGAACTTTCATATAGATGTCGTCACATAAACAGTTTGCTGTTTGCATCTGCATTCTGTTGAAAAAAACTCGCTGTGATGATAAGGCAAGTTCAGAAGTTGGGAGTTGACAAAGCCGGAATTTGCCAGTTGAGTAATTGTGGAAGTAACAGATGTGGAAGATCGAACTTGAGCGGAAGATTAGGCTACAATGTCGTAGTCCTTTCGAACTTTCATGTACGTTCTTTGAGGTCTGCCTCTCTTGGACTCCGCTGAAGAGAAATGAAAGATTAATTGCTGTATCAGGCCGAAAAAGAGGCAATGCTCATCTCTACGTTCCTGTTAGCCGTCGGGCCTTGTTCTCTGATGGAGCGGGAAGAAATGAGATGGGGTGAAGACGCAAAGTGCCATGAGTGTTGACAGTTCTCATCTGCCGTCTATTGATTGAACTCATGAAGAGCTCAGAAGCTTGTTGGCTTGAAGATCAGGGACTTCAAGGTATATATTTACATTCCTTTCTTTCACTTTATGAGCGACTACGTTGTGAACTGCAGATCTCTCCTGTATTTCCGCACGCTAAATAACTTGTGCTTTTACGGCCAGTCATCGCAAAAAGAGATCATGTGTATTTACCCCAGTACAAGTACAGAGTTTTAGATTAAAAGATGTCTTTTTGACTTGCAACTGAAAGGAGCGAATAAGATAGCTAACGGGATGGGAAGACCCCATCAAATTTTTACATCAGTTCGATATTATGGAAAAGGTGGTGTTTGGGTGTGTCACAAGGAATTTCGTTGATTCCTCGACAGATATTAGGGGCTTTCGTTTTTATCTCTCTGTTCAGGGATGAGAGGAACATACCCATCCGTTTTGAGAGTAGATAGAACTTGACTTGCAATAGGTTGAAATTGACAGATCAAATTTATACCTCTTCGAAATGTTTAATTCAGAAGGTTTGGACCATGAATTTGGATGCAGCGAGCGGTGTATGAAAGTGCAAACATGTATGCACTTTGTTCCAATACTGTATCTGCATTGAAGTTGTAATACAAAATGGCAATTCCTGCTACGAAATAGTTGCACTGCCATACTTGCTATACCGTAGTTAACAAAAGCCCTCAGCCAGATTTGACTCAAGTTTGCAACTGCATTTTGCCCACTTCGTAATAGTTTGACACATTGTTATAATTCCACTTGTTCAAACTCAATATAGTACATTTGTATCAGAGTGTAAAGAAAACAAAATCGCAGATTCCTATTTTTGAATAGGACTTGATTATTAGTGTGAATCATGTTCCATAGAGTAGAGTAGGATTACATAAAACGTCTGAAACAAGGCCACCATTGCAATAGGTTCTTTCCAATGTAGATTATAGATTGTCGTGAAATATCACTACCTAATAACAAAGCCACCAATTGCCATTGCAGTCGGTCCCGACGGCCATGGTGTAGAACCAAACCAGAAATTATTGTAAAAAGTCTGTTTCTACACATCAAACCCAGTATCTCTTTCCACCGAGATTTTTTTTAAATACCGAAAAAGATTTTTCTTTCAAGCATGAGGTTCCTCAATTTAAGCTCTGTTGAGTAAATTAGTTTAGAACTTTGTGGCAGGTGCAGTGAATCCTCTGTGACTCTGTTGATCATGAAAGACCTTTGTCTTCAACCATTCTGCTCCAACTCTTCTTCATATATCATTATATCCTTGTCATCATTGGAAAATAAGCTTGCTTGTACTTCTAAGCTCCACCTCGTCATACCTTTATCTTTGGTGTCTTCCTTCCATGGGTTCCTGTCCGAGATAGGGAATAGCAACAGAACTCTACAATTTATACATCTCTAGTTTGATTTCAATTGAGATATTGCGCAAGTTCATATGCTTTCACCTTTAATGGCATACATTTTCGTGGTTGGTAGAATATTCAGGTGTGAAGGTGCTCTTATCTCATCACACACATTTGGCATTGCGCATGCTTCTACAATTTCGAAGACAAAACCCAACCTCAACTTCTCAATCTAAAATTAGTTGAGGTGCAAGTCATAATTTGTTCATAATCATAACATTAATGCCCTCTTGCATCTTGTAAGTTACTAACTCGCTGTTTAAAGTTTTCAAATGTAACTTATATCAACTAGAGAATAAAGTACCATTGATAAAAGATTTGCCAAAAATTATTTTTGTTAATATATTTTCCAATAGAAAATATTTATACATGAAATAAATAAAACAAATCTAGCAGATGACTTTTCTTCTGTGTTAGATGCAACACAAATGTTCTGCATGAGAGAAAATATTTTCTCTCACAAAAATCTTACAACTAGATCTATTTTAGTTTATTTTTAAAAATGCTAAGATAACTTTTCTTTAATATTAGAATTAAAAATTCTAATATCTATGTTTAGCATCTAGACATAGTCTAGACGAAAGTCTGAACAAAGCATAATGTATTTTTCAACAAAAATCAATCTCGTCTATGGTAAGAACCTTACCATATTCCAACTGTGGTTTGGGCTTTTGTAATGGTAAATGGTTTGTAGCTTCTGCTTTGAGTCGCCGTCAAAGTTTCATTGTCTTTATTGGATCATTTCACTCCGCTAAAACAAGAACAAAATTTTGTTATTTTGTTCCAGAAATTTTTCATCTTGTAAATTCTGCATAGAAAAAAACCAAGTGAAAAAAGCATTAGATTTAATGTAAAGTTTATATTAAAAAAATAAAAATATTATTATGAATTATTACAGGGGCACTATGTATTGGTGAGCAATGTACTTCTTTGGGGATAAACTTGAATGTGTTACAAGGCTCAAAGTGTCGACACTTACAGCAATAGTTGCCAGAGTTGAGAAGTGGAGAGAATGGGTTGCAACGAATGGATGGTGAACTTGATGTTAACGTGAAATCAAGCAGAAGGCACTAAAGTATATGCACAATCTCAGATTATCAGGAATTGAAATCACCGCTGCTGCTGATAATCATAGCCTCAACCTCTAATTGAGCATACTTCCAACAAGGAGTTGTCTCTTGGAAAGTTTTGGATCGGATATGGGAAAGTAGGCTTAGAATTAGTTCACTCTCCTGGAGTGTGGCCATCCCACCTCTTCCATTGGCAGCTGAATCTGAGGCCATCGGACCATCGACCATCAGATGTCGTACAAACTAATCCGCTTGCGACAAAGCCTGACTCATCGAATCTCTTGACGAGAATCTTTGATCCCTCTACAGGACCCTATCTCCTAAACCTATTTTGTCATATCCAATTCAAAACTCTCCAAGAGACAACAATTTGCTGGAAGTATTCTCAATTACAGGTTGAGGCTATGATTATCAGTGATTTCAACTCCTCATAATCTGAGATCGTGCATATACTTTAGCGCCTTCTGCTCGATTTCACCATAACATCGAGTTTCCATTTCATTCCAATCCATTCTTTGCAACCCATTCTCTGCACTTTTGAACTCTGGGCACCTAATGCTGTAAGTGTTGACACTTAGAGACTTGTAACACATTCAACTTTATAATCAAAGAAGTACATTGCTCACCAATACATGGTGTTCCTGTAATAATTCATAATAATATTTCATTTTTTTAATATAAACTTTGGGCACAAACATAGCAATGAGCTAAGATTTAGGTTCTGCCTCAACTTCAGGTGACAATGGAAGAGGTGGGATAGCCACACTCCAGGAGATTGAACAAATTCTAAGACTATTTTCCCATATCTGATCCAAAACTTTTCAAGAGACAACTCATTGCTGGAAGTATGCTCAATTACACAGAGGCTATGATTATCAGCAGCGGTGATTTCAATTCTTGATAATCTAAATTCTGGAATCGAAACTCTATTTCACCAGAACATAGAGTTCCCGTTCGATAATTGATCTCCATGTCATCACCAACGCAGAGCACAGCGTACAAAAGAAGCCCAGCTACTGTAAGCATCGCTGGGAACGAAGACTAGATTGGCTCTGAGCTAGAAACCTGAAATCACTCTGGCCAGCAGGACAAAAGAACAGTACACAGAATATGTCCGACGTTTGCCATCCAGATTGGTTTGCAAAAATACGATACGAGATTGCCTATCCGTTTAGAGTGAATATGGATTCACTCTCCGTTTTAAAACACGTTCAGCTGCAAGCGCTTTTCGAATTCGAATTCGAAGTGGATTTCGAATTTGAAACGAAATTTTGCTGAGTCATCCTGGCGCGTCCTCGTCGGGCCTGGTCGATGGAGCGTGATGTGTGGTTTGCACTTGCGCCAAGAAAACTGGGAACTTATTATTTACCGCCGAGTTCTTGGATTGTTCTGAAGATTCTTCGGCTCGATGAGAAGTTGTCTCTGCTCCCGTCCCTCAGGCTGTGCAGGCTGTTGTGCTGCTGGCGTGATCGATTTTGACAGTATCGATCTCCATGTGTAGTTTCGGGCTTGCGTAAGAGTTTGGATGGAGTGTTTTCTTGCACTTGGGACGAGAAACTCTGGCATCTCGCGATCGGAGCCTTTTAAAAAAAACCATGAGTTATTCGAGAGTTAAGAGCCTGAAACTGGGTTCAGTCAGCAGCTATGCGGTAGCGTCGGCAGATCACATCTTACCCATGTGGATTCTCTCAGCGACGCTACCGCATCGCTGCTGACTGAACCTAGTTTTTCTGTTCTGCCATTCTTTTCTATTCATATCTGGACTTTGCTTTTCAGATTATCATTACATAGACTTCCATCGCATTTACCCGACGTGATGCTGGATTAGTCTTCAACACTCAATCTGTCATACTTCATGGCACCTTTCGTCTTCTTCGTAGACTGGTGACGAACTCTAGTGTGAAAAGCATTGCAAGAACAACACAAAACCCCCAAGAAGAATCGAGCTTGAAACGAGACAATGTCATATGGATGTAAACTCGGTGACTGACTTTGACTGCTTCAAAGCTTTCTGCTTACAGCTTCGCCTGTATTTCGATGCATGCGCAACGTTTCATAACTGATCCCACCTGAAAATTGCACGTGGAGAAAAGGAAAGACGTCACGTTTTATCTGCATGTGAGCGGGCGAAGCATACTTCTTCATGTAATCAACTTGTTTGAGATCAGTGAAGGACGGACAAGGTCTTCGACTTCGACTTCGACGGCTGGTGCTACGTTTGGTCGCCCATGCTGGGCTTCATCTCCCGCTGTTCACCTCACCTGACAATGGCTACTCTGGCCATGTTGTGGCTGCAACGTAGAGGCATCAATACCACCCATGGAGAGGGATCTTGGAACCAGCATGGATTATCACCACCCACGCAATGTGAGATATTTGCTGGAATGCATGCCCGCCCTCTGATTCCGACACTTTTGTATTATTCGTAGTTTGAACTTCTCATTTTGAGAGGCTTGTGGGATGGATAGAAATGGGTGGGCATTGATATACTAGAGAAGACCTTCAAGATATTGTGAAGTGAATTAAGAAGAGAGATAAGTTATCTATCTCTGAAGATCATGTGAAGAGGAAGTAAAAAGCCTGAGAAAACTCAAACTGCACACGAATTTTACTTTAGTGTGTGAGTTATCTGCTTCTGATATGCAGCATCTGATACCACATCTTTCAAAGACGCTCAAGCGATTCCTTCAGCAGATTCTATCTCTGCATACTCCGAATGTTCTGCAATGATCACCTCCAGTTCTGAGCAAGTTGAGCCAAGGGCTCCGGCTCCAACCTTAGAGTCCAGGATCACCAATATGTAGAGCGGCCATTTTTGTCACGCTGTAAATGCTGATGCATAGCTGCAACATGCCCTCTAACAATCAGAAGCCGTGGCATGGCACAACGAGTTGCAATCATTTATAAACCCAGATTGCAGAAGGTGCAATAGGTGAAATCATGTGTTCGTGCACGTGGGGGTCCAGTCACAGGAAGGATCTGTTATGAAGCAGAAAAAGCTGCACCGTGCCCTCTCATCGCAAACGGATGAACCAATCACTCAAAGAAAAAAAAGCATGAGGATGTTCTGAGATTTTCGGATGGACATTGGATATGAGGTGAGGCGTGAAGAAAGTTCCTGATGACCTTCAGCACGTCTAAAAACTGCTGGAGAGGGAGTTCGGATCGGTTAAAACAGTTCACTTATGATTTGTTATCGTATAATCCGGAAGTCCTCCAGTTTATGTGAAGTTTCGTGATAGGACTATTACAAGAACGGAATCCCAAAAGTGATTTTGTTGGAGGTTTCTTCTAAGACGAATAATTTGATGTTGATTCTCAGTGCAATAGTTATTTCTTCTGCATCCCACTGTGCGAACAAGGCTGTCTTAGCTTATCGTTCTCATCCCATTCAAATCATCTTCGCCTATCAAACGCCTCAAACCATCATTTTCCCGGCTCACCAATTCAATTATACAGTCATCAATTGTGGCCTCTCTTTTTGTGGTGTTCCACTGCCCTCTCTCAAAAGAAGGCCAAATAGCATACCGGTTGCGCGGATGATGAATGCATCAGCAATTGAAGGGCGACCTCGTAGGTGAGCATTCCAGCACCCACTCCTCTTACACCAAAAGTTGCAACTCCTGAGCACAATTTAGTAATATTCGTGAACAGAAAGTGAATACATGTTGAGTGTCTTCAAAAGCAGCTATCACCCAGTTGGATCATATCATCCACATTTTTTTCAACAAACTTATAGCTAAGAAGAGGGCGTAAACAGTCATATGTCAAAAACTTCTAGTACGCTTTGTATATTACAGGTGTCATGTCTGAGTAACTAAATCTTATTTCACTCTCTATATTAGAGGAATTCTCTTCTCAATCCTCTACCGCTGTAGAAAGATACCAAGGTCCATGTAAAGGAATGGAGGAGGCTCTTAGATTTAGCAGGTGATAACACGCTGATTCCATTTCGAACTCTAAACAACTTCACGTCTACACTGGACTTCGTACACGAGACTCCTAGATAAAAGTCTGAATCACATATTGCACACATAGAAAGGTGGATCCAGCTCTGAATCAAGTAGAATTTCCCTCAAAATAAACCTCGGAGATGTTTGTGTTTCAGAACGGTTTAGGAAAGTTGTTGCAAGACCTCACCTCAAGACACGTGAGGTCTCCCTGTGACAGTGTAGTTTGAAATCTATTTGATATCGAAAAGCAGACTCCTTCCATAACCTGCACCTCGAATATTCATTGCCGTAGATACTTGACTCTCTTTTTTGCTCCTTTCCCGTTGCTCTCGGTGCTATCAGTGCCAAGGATATGTAACAACATCGCATGAAATCAGATATAAAACCGGCAACTTGAAGGTAGCCATGTTCTGCATGGAGATGATTCATCACAGTCTGACTCCATCGTGTCCTTCGGTACACAGCTGGGCATGACTGGGCGTTACATCTTTGGACAGGACAAGACAATCTCCCTGCTACTTCATCAGTTGCCTGAGCAGGTTGAAAACTGTACTCTGATTTGGCAGGCTGCATGGTTCGCTGCCTTTGGTTTTGATAAGAGACTGTGATTGGTTTATCACTCCATGGTGATCAAGTCCGTCTAGATCAGCCAATCACAGCAGCTTGTCCAGAGATTCCTTTCGTTGTATTCTAGCATTTCAGTTTCGATTCGATCGTGTAGATTGAAGTAAGTTTGAAAGAAGGTCTTGGTCTGGATAATCACCGACTGAAACTCGTGTTCCAGTCGAGACTCCGATCCGATAGTTCGTCTGTTTGCTGTCGTCAGTCCTGAGTCGCTCTTTCTTGGCTTCTCTCACAACTTCCCCGCTCTGATTGTCGGTCAAGATGCACAACTAGAGCACGGAAGATCGATGGTGTATCAGATGCGAAAGGCCGGACAGATCTCACCTGTCCGAGTGCGATGCAACGCAGAAGAGATCAATCAATCTCGCAATCAAGCTCCAGAGCTTAGTAAGAATATTGACTTATACTGAAGTGAATTCCTCTCAGTGTCAAGTGCGAACGCAGGAAATGCGAATTTATGCTCTTCTGTTCACGTCCAATGGGAGATGACTGTACTCACGTACAAATCAGAGAACACGAGTGCACCAGAAGAGCATATTGTAGGTGAAAGGATCCGGAGTTCTTGGTGGTCCCCTGCAGTCGGGCCAACGCTCTCTGATCCACTTCGAGAGACCTGAATCTTCGTGCTCCAAATTCCTCTCGTCTCGTCTACTCTTTGCGCCAACCACTCTCGGCAAATAGTGCTGATGGGTCCACGAGGGGAGCTCTGGAGCTGCGTCTATCGTCGCCGCAGGTCCAGATTCAGAGCGAACGTCGATCACGGCGGATGGGACAAAATCGAAGGACAGACGGAATGGAATGGCTGCAACAAACTCTGGGACAAGATCTGGCGAGCATCAATTCACAGCCATGACCAATGGCACCCCCTTCACGATCCCAGAGTCTCGGCAGAACACCTGCGGCTGAGTCCTCGCAAATCTGCTGAATGGCTGGCTGCCTGGCTCAGCTCGACGTTCGCCGGAGCTCGCACGGCACAGACGGCAACCGAATCGAATTCTGGTAGCCTGCAAAGTATCTTCTCAGAAAGAAAAACATTAATGCCGAGAAACGACAATAACTTGGGTAATCGCCCACATTTCACTTTTTGCCCGTCGTGGATCTGATTATCGTGCACCGCAGGACCGACACCGCTGTGGTCCCACTCGTCAGGCACGGAGTTAACCAACCGAGCACCCAAGGACGGCTACGGATGGCCTTGCTCATTAGAGTACAGTCCTCTCCTCTCGAAATTACCCGCAATCTTAATGGTAAATGCCCTGAAGTGGATCGGAATGGGGCCTCTTCCTCCCATTCGGCTTCCATCTGACATTTGGATGATCACGAGAGCTCAAGCCTGTGAGAAAACACGAAGCACAGGAAGTACAGTAGCCGCCAGTGGCAAGTGACATGTTGCGCTTCACGATGAGAAGAATGAGAAGTCCAGCACCTCGCATCTCAACCGAGGACTATCGGAGCTCGGTTGAGATGCGAGGATTGTTGTTGGAAGTTTGGATGCTCTAGATAGATGCAAAAGCTATGAAGGGAAGAGCTTGTCGGTTTGGCAAATTCTGCCCTTCGAGTTACTGCATCCTGCAGTGGAAGATGGACTTTTCGGAATCCAACAACGACGAGATTCGCAGCAGCAATTATGACAGCGAGTCCAGCCCAGTCGAGTCGAGTAGAGTCGAGTAACTCGGGTTTGTCGGTAAGAGTTCTTATGGCAACTCAGAAGTGGGATGGGGCAAATGTCTGAATTGCCATACAAACTTCAGACACAGGTTTAATGCGCGGCATTCCACCGTCCCCGTTATGTTCCGTTATGCTGCAGAAGTGTTCGTGCTCTATAAACGCTCGGAGGCGTTTCGCCTCGCCTCGCCACCACTTAAGGTTCTGGTCATGGGATCCATAGACATCGGCCTTTAATCTCTGTACCGCGACGGATCTTTCTCTGATGGCTCTTTACTTGTTCTCCCTCACGTATTCTGTCCTTGTCTGATCCAAAGTTGGTCACCGGACTCCGCCTTTTGGCATGTATTTTACTCTCGTAATTTCCATGATTTACCGCAACTTCTCAGAGAATCCATCCATGGCTCTTCATAAATGAGCGTGCATTTAAGCTGAGCTTTTCTCTTCATGTGGACACACACACACACATCCAATGAGCCAAGTCCTCGACTTCCTCCACATCTGTTGGGACCAAAAGGAGAATTTGCATGCAAGCTACGAACTTTGTCGAGAGTCGCTGGATATGTATCTATTTATCACGAGGAGTGTGTATGAGCACCCTCGGGTGTTGAAGGCATTTCGTTGAAGGGGCATGAAAATTTGGTTCAGTTGTTGAAAGTTGAAAAGTGGTGCTCGTGACGCTTTTCTTTGTCTCTTCATTTCTCTCTCTCTCTCCCTTTGTGAACTTCAGCAAAGACGATTGTCATTTTGCATCGAAAGAGATTCCTTCTGGCTCATGGTGCAAAGGGTGAGGCCTAGAGAACTGGGATCATCCTACGAGGAGTGTTGCACACTGTACATGTCATCCATTTGGCCAAGGAGCATGATCTGACCAACGATCCACAATATATAAAAAAAAAGGCCATTTTGACTCGTGGACCGGATACTTGACTTCATACCGGGAGTGTAAAAGATGGTGGTAGAAGTAAACCAAGGCGGTGAGGCGGAATGGCCGGGGTTTCACTCGTTACCCATGACTTTATCAAAATTCTCACTGCTTCATTTAGCAGGAGAATACAATAATTTTATAATAAGATATGACTCAAAATTTTACTTTATATGAGTCATATACAATTAAAATGAAAGTGTCTGTCAGTATCCACATTTCGAAAAAGAATGTTTTTTTCTCTCAGTCTGCAAGATGATTCTTCTCTAGTTTCAACTATAAAATGTTATAAATAACCACTTCAAATCATCCCAACGGGGAGCTGGGAATTACTTTACTCCCGTCCACTCTTTGTTTGGGTCTGTCTTGAACCCCCTCTGGGTACATCGCCGCTTTGGAGGCCACGAAGCGCCACCGAGTTGGCTGCTGAGAAGATGAAACGAAAATTCGATCAGAGCTTGTGGAATAAAAATTGCACCGTCCCCAAACTTGTGGCCTTGATCTTTGGATGTAGACGAGTTGAAAAAAAGTTGAGATTCGGAAAACATCACAGCCAGAAGCATTTATCACGTAGACTTGAATCATTTATGTCTTCCAGTGTGCATTCAGTTCCGTGTAAATTTTTCCGGTCCAGACATTTTTGTTTTATTTTAAAGAGGTGAATACTTAAGCTAGGACCAAGACATATCAATAAAATTGCACCCTATTACAGCTACAGTAATATAGAAGGATTAGATGCTAGAAAAATTGGTCGAAACAGCTCAGGTCTGGAGGTTGAAATACTATGTTAGCTATCAATGTTGCAAATATCCCCAGATCAAATCAGAAGGAAAGTTGCTTTGTGTTTGTTTCGATACGTTTGGTAAGTGCCCATAAGGTTCGGCATTCTCGTCCAACGATTATCAGAATTTTGGAGTATATGTACGCAGTAAGTATGAGTCACATCTGTTGGTATTGAATGTTGGAATACATCTCTGGAAATATATTTCACCTCCCTTCTTATCTAATCTACTTCGAGGGTAACTTTAGGAGCGATCTGAGCATCAAGAAAAGTGGAAGACGAAGACAGCACAAAGTTTCTGCATATCCAAAAATAGTTCCAAGAAAAGCGTCTGTGATTTCTCGGTCTATTTTGAACACATCATACAGTCTTCAAAAGCGAGAATCACGTAAAAATTAGACATACACATATGGACGTGGGAGTGATATCTTTGCATGCCAATGTTGAAACTCACCCCATAATATGCATGAAGCACCGAGCAGCAACTGTGGATAGATAAATAAGGCAAGCGGCCAATTCAATCATGAGGAATAAGCGGCCCATGTGAAAAGCTGAAAAGGTTCCAGTGACATGGCAAGTGTCCAGAACTAGCAAGTAGTGGACTTCGCGTTCTGGCTGAAAGAAACTGGTCATCCCATCATCAAACGTATGAACATCATTGATGTATATTAAAGTTTATCTCGTTTCGTGCGAAAAAAACATTTCTCGGGAAAAAGTCGCCCATGAACCTTGTGCACCATCCGACGTCCACTTCTGCTTTTCCATGAAAGTTTGTGCGACAGACAATTATTTTTTTATCAGGCTGAACACTTCAACATGCTGATTCTGACTGAAACACTGCTCTTTGGAGCAATGATATTGTGGACTTGATTACACTTGGAACACTAAGATCACCCATGAGTATTCTGACAAGAAATATGTGGGTGTCTTATAATGATCTCTATCCACTTACATTTTACCACAAGTTGTGTCTTTCTATCTGATCCTCGTCACTTTTTGTCACGTTGCCCTGGAGCACCTTTACCATCTCAACTTTTGTGCACAGGTAAAGCAATGGGACACCAAATGCTTCAACTTAAGAGTATAATGCCTTATTCTTGTGAACTACATCACTAAATGTCAAGTGATTGCAACGTCACAATTCTTGAGTTAAGAACACGACGGAAATATATGATGAAAAATTTAGATTCACAAATGAGCGTAACGATGCCAATGTGTAAACTCGCATGAGAAAACTCCAAGGACGACACTTATACAGTCGTTACTTCCAAAAGTGAAATTTTAAATTAATGCATGATTAAGGGACACTAATCAGTTTTCTTGAAGGTGTGAAAGATCATGTGAAACTAACGGTCTCATGAAATAAAAATTTATATCCAAGATGGGAGGAATCACTGTTGTACGATTATGTACAACCTGAAAGGTGGTGAGTGCTGTACGAAGGTTCAGACTTCAAGATGCCAAAATCGTTTTTTAAGAGCAACCATTATTAAAATCAGAATTTCTGTTAGATGACAAACTTATCATGATAGTGCATGCTGACTCATACTCAGTCAATAGACATTTCACAGAAGTGATTACAGGTCTCGGCACCCAAGTGTTACAAATCTGGGCTGGATCCTATGATTTTTATCATCATCTCCTCTGATTAAAATATATAGTGGAAATAGAAGAGGAGAACAGCTTTCAATAAAAACAACATTCCAGAAGGAGATTTCTGATACATGTACATGTACATGCTTCTAGAATGTAGCGAGCAGCTGAGCATGGTATCTATCATTCATCCCCATTTGCCCAGTCCTGTTTCGGATCTCTTCACAAATTACCTCATGATCCATCTTCTTATGCACATCAGAATAACAAAAACTCCAATTCGTTCAGTTGTGAGATCGAAGAGTCCATACTTTCGTGTGAAGAAAATTTCCCATTAATCCTGCCCGCATAGATGTTTATTTCCGATAAAATGATCTGAAACTTATCTATGCGCATTTACGCTACAAATTACGTGCAACTCAGTTACGTGCACTCGACTTTTATTTCCTCTTTTTTTATCTATATAAATAGCCGCACTCTCTTCAGAGGTCGTTTGAAGGTCCGGGTTTGATACAAGTCATCCATGGACATATATGTACATATATGGATGTGTTATTTACCCCTGCCTAGAGTTTCTATCGTTCCCAGGTTACTTGAAAACTTATGGGGTTACTTAAGAGGATCAGCTCATAGGTGCTGTAAGCATATGCTCCACATTTATATATTCAGCTGAAAAACTCACTAGCAAATTAACAAATATCAAAAAAATTCAACATCTACAACATCCCTACGGTTTGCGATCCAATGACTTAATAACAAGACGTAAGTCGCACATACGTGTTCTTGCAAACAGACCAACTCTCCATCATCACCTTTAAAATTTAACGTACAGTTACTGAAAAAAAACAAGTTCTTCTGAAGTTGACAAAGGGAATGAAACAAAAAGTCGTATCAATGGCAGTCATTTGATGGATCCGTAAAGACTAGTTTTGGGACAAGTTTTAAATTGTTGGTCCGTCATTTTGAGGGACATTGAATTTTAAACCGTGATGTAGATTCCCTAATTTTGGTGAGCTGATTCTCTCAAAGGGAGGGTATTTCAAGGCGAAGGCACGTTCATCACGGTCATGCAAAGCTTCGTGCGGTTGGAAGGTTTTGTATTTGGAATTGCGTCATGAGCACTGGGTTTCTTCGAGCAACTGCGATGTAAGCAAGTGCAACATAAAGACTAATGACTCGAAGCTGTAATCTGATGACAGTACTGGGTAATGCTGATTACTGTACTTGGAGACTATAAAGGCTCCGTTGTGCATTCATAATAAGGCCGACCGAACGAAAATGGACAGAGTGAATGGTGTCGGAACGGAAACTCTTGGGCAGATGGAAAGAGCAATTTTCGGATGCTGACAAGCGCGAATGGAATGCCAACAGCCTGGCCTTGACGACATCCACCAGCTTGCCACTTAATGCTCTAATCATCACTTCTCTGAGCTGAACGAAAGGTACCATGAAACAACATGAGATCGGCAAGCATTTTCATTCTGGCTAATCAGAAGTAGATGCATACTTCAGTACAGTGTAGTGAGCCAATGTCTGGATGAATTCAGAACATGAAATCAAATCAGATAGTTGTAACTCGACGACGATGTTAATCTCGACCACTCAGGATAAACCCCGAGTGAGGGAAAGGAGATAGAAGCCTTCGTCTCGAGATGGACCAAAGAGTAGCTGGATTGATTGCACCAATCCGTTCGCTGTTCTGACTTCCTCTAGTCTCTTCTCTGCTGGCCAAGGGAAATAGCTCCCCTTTCTGCAGGCTTCAAAGACATTCACATAAACCATAATGAAGCAGAGAGAAGGGCCACCAGACAGGCGTTCGGAACGATAAAAAGCCAAGCCCTGTTGGAAAGAGCGGCTGGGAATATATCTGAATCAAACACCTCGTGTACAATATCGCAAGGAAGGGCTTCCAATGAACAGGGGTACGGTCTCGCACAAGGTCAAACAGGAAAGGAATGTGAGGTAGCTAGTGCTGCATAGATTGGATATTTGTCACATTATTGGATAATGAAACACAAAGTAGCATGTTACTTAGATCATGTCAGGCCAGAGAATGGAGCAAAAAGGAGAATGGCAGACAAAGTGGCCCATAGCCAAATAGACCCGAAAAGAAGTCGAGCGAACGAAAAGTATAGCGCGACGATAGAACTAATGATAGATCTCGAGTTGACACTAGGCCTCCCCTCGAGAATGAATCTGGTTTGATGGACGACATCATGTCAACCCAAAGGCCCCACTTTACTTAACCCCCGATGATACGTAATCAGTGAGCATAGTGGCCCTCGGCAGATGCTTAAATCCTCATAGTAACGCATGTAACGATGTCACGAGTACAGTACCGGGGTCGAGGTAGAGAGAAGCAAAGGCTCGAGCTCGACGAAGAAGCTACAGGAAGGAGAAATCTACGCAACCAAGATCTCGCCTGAATCTCGCGCAATTAACTCGATTCTCGTCACATGTTCATTGTCCATGTCGCTTGCGGTCGTTCTTCCCTCGGAGGACTCCAGCCGACCCCAAGAGCAGGACCGGCCCGAGCTTCGTGGAAACTACGAGGACGTTCGACCTGGTTGATAGTCCGGAGGACCGCGTCCTTGAGACGGGTACTTTAGGATTGGGGTCGTAATCGAAGTCGTAGAATCGGGTGGCCTTTCTGTGTAGGCACGGACTGAGGATGTGCGTTGTCAGAAATAGTAAACAGAGCGCTCCGTATCGGAACAGTAATAGCATGTCGGATGTACGAGGAACACACGGACGGATGGAGAGAAAGTAAAACTTCGGAACCGGCAATTGCAACACGGCGACGGGACCGGTCGGCGGGTCGGGTAGGGTCGGGTCGGGGAGGGTGCAGATGACCAAGACGGGCAGAAAGATGCTGACTGTACCGGCCAGAGGGCAAAAATAGAGCGCCCTCAGCACCATCTGGATGTGGACGGACGGACAGACGGACGGACAGACGGATTGATGACCGCGGTCGGAACGACGGCCGTCGCTCTGACAGCCGAGATCTGCCGCACCGTCCGATGGGTCTGGTCCGCTGCATCGAGCCGGGTCCGAAGAAAATGCTCACGGGGCCAAAAGGGGCGCGACGATGGCAGCAGAGCAGAGCGCAGGAGAAAGGAGCGCCGGGCTCATGAATGCTCGGGCGAGCGATCGCGCCATGGATGGGTCGATCGATCGATGGGCCCGTGCGTCGAGATTCACGAACAGATAAATGAAGGCGGGCGAGCGAAAGTGCACAAGTGGGGCTCGGGCGAGGGCAATGGGGCCACGACGATGAGGTGAACGCAGGCGAGGGAGGGAGGACGGAAGAAGTGGAAGGGCGCAGATCGCTGCGCTGACGGTGGTGGTTGTCGGAGCAGGAGCAGGAGCAGGAGCAGAGTTCAGGTACGAAGACGGGGATTGGAGTGATTGGAGGGGAGGAAGAGGAGGCGAGGCCGAGGCCGAGGACGAGGACGAGGAGCAGGTAATAAAAGCAGGCGAGCAGACAATGATGGTCGGTCGGAGGCGGATGGAATGCACGTGCCGCGGCCAGGAGCTCGCAGTGGCGTCGTCGCCTGTGCGCTAACCCATGCGGCGGGAGGCGCACCTCCACTGTTTTTGGCTGGCTGGCTGCCTGGCGATGGCGATGGCGATGGACGGGTCGTTGCGTTGCCTGGCTGGCTGCCTGGCTCCCTCCCTGGCTGCGTCTGCTGCTGTGGTGAAAGCCTTTACACATCTGATGTGAATGAAGTCTAGGAGTCACGCATTGATGCGCGACGGTCGCTGCAGAGAGACCGAGAGAGGACCGGGCCGTCAGTGAAAAGTCAGTCAGTGCATTGAACTGCGCGGGACGAGCTTCGACGTCCAGGCCGTGCCGCTGCTCTCGTTGCGATGCTCGTTATTATCGCTTCAGCCCGTCGCCTGTGTCGTTAGTCGGACGATGACTCCTTGGAGGCAGCCGCGGGTCGAGAATCTGAGTGCCTCCCCACTTCCCCTGGGGAGTTACGTCTGATCGCTGCACCCTTCGCTGGCTTCTTGGTCTGGACTGCTTGCGCCTGGAATAGCTTCCGAGTGAGTGAGTGAGCGAGGGAGGAAGGACATCGCGTGATCATCGGGAGACAGCGTGTGTGAGCTGCCTGCCAAATTTGTGTGTATGCTGCGTTCCGTGCGTGAATGAGATACTCTCTCTCTCTCGTTCGCATCCTACGATCCTGAAGTTGGACTCTTGTCGGGTATCGAGCTTTCGCTCTTCGGAGTTATGAGACTCGGGCAGAATTTTAACGAATTTTGGAGAGAAATGGAGGCCTGGACGGGTGGCCTGAAAGTCCGGTGGTGTCGACGCAGGAGCACCTCTGACAAACAGCACTTGGACTCTTTAACGTGATGCTAAGATTAAGTCATGCGCATACGCAGGAAGGGCAGAGAACCGCTATTGACAGCGTGGTGACAGGACTATGGATAGACTTGAATCGCATTAATTAGTGAGGGTCAAGCTCGGAATGCAGGGCATCAGTAATGGCGTGGAGGATACTGGTGGAGCAGGGAAAGTTTCAAGAGGTTCTGAAAGGGAGCTGAAATCTCATAAGAGGGAAACCAAGGAAACAATGTGGGGGACCTTGAGCAGGGCCCGGCGGAGCATGATATGCTTGCCTCATCCCACTGCCGTGTGTTCTAATGTTCGCACACGTATCGCCGGGCCTATTGTGCAGGTGTGTGCGACAAACGTCCTACGTTGTCCTACGAGTCCGTTTCGTTGTTTTAGTTCAATCCAAGGAGCTGATGGCGATCTGCTCTTTTTCATGAAGTTCTCACTCGTTTTTTTATAATAGTTTGTAATGTTTTCTTCGATCAAGGATCCTGGATTTTCCATCGTTCGATAAGATAGTCGCATAGTGATGCTAGAGAATGACTCTGGATTTAAAACCTTGTTACTCTCGGCTTTCGTTTCTCATGCCTTTCAAACTTGGAAGTTCGGATTTCGTGAACAATAAGCATAGACCTGGCCAAGACTGCCGCAGTTTCCTTCTTTCGATTTTGTACTTGGCCGCACTGTTTATTCTAGAATGATGTCTCATGAGCATTCCTTCCGTGCGCGTAGGTTCAGCCTGTAAGCTACAAGGAGCAGGTTGAGTTCCTTGATTGGCTGAAAGAGCGCGGACAGCGAGATGCTTATCTGAGTACTACTGTGGGAATCTCCACACATGGCAGGTACTGTATGGGTTCAACTAACTGTCAATTAGATTGCTGATTGTCACTGATATTGAGACGATCAGCGAAGTTATGCTTATGATTCTAATTATTAGGCCGTCGGCGAATTGAGACATTCAATTGTTTTAAATATTTGTAATCGTTCGCGTTTCAGACCTTTTACCTCTGGGCATTGTTCGCTATCGCTCATATCTAAGCCGTGGAAAATGGTAATAACTTCGATTGTGACTCTCCAGTGCTGAAATCGTACCTGTCGCCGCAGGGCATTGTTCGCTACCCGTCCCATTCAAGCTGGCGAGCGCGTTCTTCGTGTTTCCCGAGATCTGGTGAGTACTAGCTTCGATTAGGCGTGTTACTCTGCTTCGGTACACATCTTGCAGATAGTAGCCGCATGGTTAGTCAAGGTCTTGAGCGATGGGGTGTTCAAAATTTTCCTGAATCTAGGATTCCTTGCGAAGTTGGCTTTGAGTGATGGATGGCGATTAAGTGTTATTGGCAAGTAATAAGCATATTATTCTCGTTCAATTTTGGCATTCCAAATATGTCGAAGCTTGAAGTCGAGTTAATCACTGACTTTCTCACCTGTCATGCAGTTGATCACTCCAGATAAGCTACCGAAGGAGGTCACAAAACTTTTGCCGCAAGATGTTAGTGAGTGGGCTCGTCTTGCTCTCTTCTTACTTGCCGAGCAGCATAAGGGCCAGGTGTGAAATCTTTTATTTGCTGGATCAGAAGTGGGATTGAAACAAATTAGTCCATGTTCTTATCATCTGCGTTATATTGTTCTTTGTTACTGTTTACATTTATTGTTTCTGAAGTAACGTGGACGATAACCAAGTGATGTTAAAACCTGGGCGTAAAGCGGAGATTATTTCCTAGTGTATTGTCGAAATATCGGCGTTGTAGGAACCAAGTGTTTTTCTAACTTTTGTATCGGCGTTGTAGGAACCAAGTGTTTTTCTAACTTTTGTATCATATTGAATTGTATGTGTTCTGATGTAGGAATCAACTTGGTCGCCTTACATCAGTTGCCTACCTCCTTTAGGGGCTATTCACAGTACGGTATGCGGCAACAAATCCATTGACATATCTGGCGTCTCGTAATCACGCATGGATTGACTTAATAACAAAGACAATCTTTCATATGTATCTCTAGTCAGGTAAAATAGATAGGCCCAAGAATTCACCAGCTTATTGAGGTATCATATATGTGTTGTGCACTGTAGGTCTTTTGGAAAAAGGAAGAGCTGGAGCTTGTTCGACACAGTTCACTACACAGGGAGACTGTGCAAAGGAAAGCAATTATTGGAGCAGAATTCGCAGCAGTTCAACCGGTAACTCTTTAATTGAGATCCACTGCTTTGTACATCTGATTAGTTTACGCTGCTTCCAATAATTGGACCTCTTGTCAGAGTTCGGCTCATTTCCTGTAGAAAAGTCTTAGTTTGATCTAGGTGCTCTCCTTCTCCATTGTCCGAAAGGACGGAAATTGCAAAAGAGCATGCATGCTTGCTGATTAGCTCTAGTTTTGTTCATAGATTCCTCCCCCTAGTGTTGCCCTAGGTTGTAGATAATATCCGTCAAACTGGATAATACCCCTTAAACTGGGCTCATCCGGTGCATTGCTAACTGCTTGCTCCGCAATATACTTTGTGTTAATTAGGCTTTACAGCGATGTACACATATATTTGGAGAACGTATCGCACAAACAGATTTTAAGCATGCCTATGCTACCGGTAGGTGCAATACCTCACTCTTGTTACGTGTATGGTCGTCTATTTTGAGTACACGGGTTCAGTTCTACACCTGGCTGGATTCAGTGCACGTCATTTAATACCCGCATCTCACCGTTTGACAAGCCTTCGGTTGCGCTCGAAGGTTCAACTATGACTAAGTTCTAAATATTGTCGTCCTACGCAGTTTGTTCTCGCGCCTGGGGCATTGAAGCACTCCAAACTCTTGCCCTGGTATTTTATCTTTTCTTCTGGAATTTGTTTTTAGTGCAAAGTGAACTCATAGTTCGATGTGAAGGTAATAGTGTTACATTATTCACTACATTCATATAAGAGGGTGTTGTGAAAGTTTTGAAGGTTTGGACTCAAGTTCTAGTTAGCATGTACAGGGGAAGTGAAGAAAAGCTGAAGAGTTTTAACTTCAACAGGTTCCATTCGTAGACTTCTTCAACCATGAATCATACTGTCAGGCATTGTTGTCATATGACGAAGAACAAGGCTATGCAGAGGTGCGGCTCGAAACATTTCGCTTGCGTTGATCTCTGAAGAGAATGTTCCATCTCTCAAGAAACAATTTGTCAGAAAGGCTGAAAAAATTCATGGTTCTAACACGTCGCTGGCTGATGCAAGTTTCTAAAATCTCTCTCTTTTCTGTCTGAACAGGTCATTGCCGACCGCGATTATGCAGTCGGATCTCAGGTTTGCACTTTCTTCCTTTTCGAGCAGAATTTCACAAGAAATATGAATATTAAAGCGCAATTTGTGATTCGAATGATGAAGTAATCGCCCGTCCTCTTGTATTTCCAGATTTTATCTTCAGTCCGGTTCATATCCCTCTTGTACTTGCTGGTTCTCTTACCAAGCTTCCGATACGTGAATTGCATCTAATTGGGTCTAAATAAACTTCATTTCAATTTTTGTTCGATGCAGGTTGTGTTAAGTTACGGACGTTTACCGAACAGTATTCTAGCACTGGACTTCGGTTTCACCCTCCCTGAGAATCCTCATGACCAGGTACCTCAGTGCTCATCTCGTTCACGCTTCGCTTTTGGTTGAATTGTCGCTTCTAGCTTGGTTAGTCACGTTTTTAATCTACGTAAACTTAGTCACTTCGATAGCAATACACTTCATAGTCACTGCTGTCCATCAAGAGTGGGCGAAAGTACCTGAGAGCTGAGTTGAAATCCTATATCTAGGTGGAAGTATGGATGGGAGTATCTCGCAGGGACGAACTACGAAAGCTGAAGTTACAATTGTTGCATGCCCACGACATGCCAACATTTCTCCATGCTGATGGATCTGATAGTGGTGGATCTGGTTTCAACATTAGGTACCTTTCATTTCATCTTCTCTTCCAAGGATGCACCGAGCAGATTGTACTGAGATGTGGTATCAGCCAGGTGAAGAGATTTTCCGTTGCAATAATGAGCGAATGTTGTGGAATAGATAATGTTTGTCATCACTCAGGGAATGCTCTGGTTGCAGGTTTGTAAAATCTGCCATAGGTCGTGGGAAGGGCATACCACATGCACTTCGGGCCTTCGCTCGAGTTCTTTGTGTGGACAATGCACAAGGTAGGTGTGCACTTGGCATTGTGGAAGAAAGAAACTATGTCGATGTAGATCGAGGTTTAGGCACTTTTTCTGCAAGCTCGATTATAGCTGAGCAATATTACTGAGAAACACTCCTAACTATGTCTTTGTGACATACTGTAGAGTTGACAGAAATGGCCGCCGAAGCCACCAAGCTTGACGGGCGGCTGGCTCGACGACCTTTGAAAGACAAGAACAGAGAAGCTCAGGCTATGAGCCTCCTGCTAGCTCGTTTGGAGAGTATGATGCAGCAACGGCATAGTGCACTTCTGGTTTGTCGTCTGCATGCTTACCTTCATAGAGACCTTGAAACGTATTCTTTCCCTGTGGTAGTTGGAGTGAACTAAGATTGTACCCATTATTTTGCACTTGATTTTCTGTGACAGCTCTTGATTTCTTGCTCCTGTTTATACCTGCAGACCTTGCGCTTGGTGGAAACATGCAGAGGGTCGAATTCAGGGTCGAAGAGTCCAGTTACAGTGCACGTACAAATGGCAGGTGCCGTTGTCAGCGGAGAGATGCGCGTTTTAAGGTCTGCCATCGCTTGGTTGAGAAATCATTGTTCTCCTTCGACTGTCCTCACATGAACATCAAAGGTTTTCGACTTCGCATGCGATCCTTTTCCTTGATGGGGTAAGGCCTGTAAGAACTTGTAGTGAGCGATGAGCTTCTTCTCTGTCGAGAAGAGCCTTGTGTTTAATGAGCCTATCTTAGAGAGTAGGCAACACTCGAGACTTGTTTTCTTAGCACATCCACTGAAAGAGGCTAAATTTCTTTTCACCACATTGGTGAAAAACTTCCCATAGAAAACGTACAAACGACAGCAGGTAGTCAAAGTGGCAGATAATCAGAAATCTCAACACTCCACAACACGTACTGGATGACTGTGATAACGTGAAATGTTTTCGACGGTTTCACAAACACGGTTATCGTCATCCTCCTCCCACAGCCATCTGAATCTGTTTTGATATTACCGAAACCCCTCGTCGTCCACGATCTAGATCTTCACAACCTAGGCAGGGTAGAAGAGTCCCAGAAGTGTACATTCACTATTTTTTCTCTCTGGGATTTTTCACCGAGAGACTTTCACGATGATTTCTCAAATAGAAGTTCAAGGTTCGTTCCTTCACTTCTATATCTCGTTCTGAATACTGCTCTTTGTCCCACCATCGTACAGAATTTTGACCTTGTCTTTGAAGGTGGTGTCTCATGCTCGGCGTGAATGCTTCCACCAAACACCCGTTTCACAGGGTTTATGGAATAAATTTTGTGTTCGACCGGCCCCTCCAGCAGCCCCCTACAAAACTCACACGCACACTTCCGTGTTTATGAGTTACACCTATGGTTGGTAGGTTTGAATTTAGTGTTCAATAAAAGCATCAACAATTTTGCCCTTCGCAAGCCCGCGAAAGTCGCGTCATCCGACGCTGGATGTGCTAAGAAAACAGTTTCTGTATTCCGAGTGTTTTGAACAAATCCCGCGTTGTCAATATTTACCAAGAAACAGTGCCGACGTATTCCTTGATTGAAAACCATACCTCAATTATTTCATTGGCTTTAAATCAGGGCATGATTCGCCTCGTGTGAGGAGAATGACCGTGAATGATCCATGCTCGTGGCGGCCTCACTCGCGGCGAAGAAGTTTTCAGCAGCGACGGCACTCACAATCTCATCCCTTGAACGTGATAACAGAGCAAAACCACGAGTGCTTCCTGGCAACCAATGACGCTGATGAAGAGTCCTGGAGGCAATTCCATAGTTGCGGTCACCAGGCAGCAGCGTCTGCAGCGTGTGCATGGACTTCCGTAAGCAGGGACTGGGAGTCCCTGCTTACGGATAGTTCATGCTCACGGAGTCCATGCGCCCGCTGAGGCCGCAAGGATTTACAGACTTCATTTCTTCCCCGTCGACCTGGACGTCACAAAAGGACACTGATCAGAAATCTGCGAGCCCAACATCCACACAGGTTGGAAGATCCTGCCACAGGTGACTTGGCTGTTCCCTCCAGAGTGAGAGTAAATTGGAGGCTTGGAGTCTGGAGTGAGTGGAGACACAACTTCCAGATCGGGTTAAGGGCAATCATTCGACCGATCGCCATGAATCTCAAGACTAGGGATGTCAAAAGTATAATAGGGGGATTTACGAGAAAGATTCAAAAGGAGACATAAAAAGACCGTGGGTCGCAGCGCCATTGCCAATTTGAGCGGAGTGACAAAAGATATAGATGCTGCGTCGTTCTTGACCTCATGCACAATCTGAAAGGGGCCAGACGTGTACGGCATGACCTCAAAAGTTGGAACTCGGCCGAAAGTCATCAATGACGAGCACTGAAGCTTCGCCGACGCTGCTATTCTCGAGGAGAGAGACGCGGAACGAATCTCCTTCTGTCCACTTCTCTCGATTGCACGCCGAGCCTCCGTCCTGTCGCGGAGCGACCCATTCCTTCATCACCTCCATTCTTGAACACAGCAGTCGAATCCGATAGCTCTCGATCTCGAATTGAGTCTGCCCCATCTTCTACTCCAACTACATCATCTTCAATTCATCATCGACGACTCCAGTGGAGCTTACGTTTGTGTACATTTCGAATGTGAAGCTGGATCACCACGCAAAAATTGTTTCCTCCACGCCAAAAGCTGTCACCATGTTTGCATCAGACATCTCCATAATATGAGGGTTGAAGTATGTGATCACGGTAATGCGAATGATTCCCATATTGTCCACAGTTTCCACTCAGAGACCGCTGTTCCTTGACGTTTCACTTTGATTTTACTAATATTTCTGAAGCTAAATTACTCAGTCTATTCTTTATAAATGTTTGTGAATGGGGAGTTTCATGCATGGCGTGATATCTCTTTCGCTTGTGTCTTTGAAACGTTTTTCTTTTCTTTTAGTTCTGACAAAAAATACCAGCAGAAGAATTCTAAATCTTTAATCATGATTCATTTCTAATTTTTGAATGAATATAACTATAGTTGATTGTTACAATTCAAATCTTGGAGGACAAAGTTGAACATCGAATTATTAAAACTAGTTTGACTTTTGTTTTCTATTTCATATAAGAATAATACATGAGCAAGTTATGTGGACATTGTCAGATGTACATGGATTTGTCTAGTAAACATCTCCATATCCCTGGTAGTAGAATAATGTTTTAAAATTTTAAAGTACAAATTTTAAATTTCCTCTTCGAAATATCTTTTCGGATTGTTTTAAACTGCAAATACACTAGGCAAAGTTCATGATCTCTCTTATGTGGAATATACAATTAGATTCAAACTTCATACAGAATCAAAGAAATTTAATAAATGGGATTGTTTTGGAACTTTTTAGATAATTTCTAGGATTCTAGTAAATCACTTTTCACTTTGTGACATAGTTAAGGTTATCTTCAGTTTGTTTGTCTTTTGTGATATCTAATGGTTTCGAAATTTTCTAAGCCAATTAATTGTCTCTAGAGTAATAACTTTTGGAGTGACCTGGATGGTCTTCTTCTTGTGTACAATGTTTCATGGCTTAACACAGAGTATTACATGTTAATGTATTTTCTCTCCAACAAGTGTTTACATCTTGGTTCCATAACCCGTATTGGTTGGACAAAATTTTTGTTATCAGTTTTTTTAGTTTGGCAGTTTCAATTTTGGAAAAACGTTTGAGTTGTTGAACACTTGTTGATTGTTCTAACTCTTTGATTCCTTGGCTTCTATTCACAGATCAGAGTAGAATTTGTCAAGCTAAAAATTGTCTATTGTCAAGAATTGTCATGACAACAGTTTAGCCATAAGCAAAATCTGTCAACTAACAAAATTGTGTATTTTTTAATCGTGCGTGGGTATATTTTTTTCTTCAGCAGTTAACAACGCCCTTAGTGTGTGTATGGATTTCCGTAAGCATGAACTTGGATTCCATATCTTACAAAAATATAGAATTTAAGTTCATGCTCACAAAATCCAAGCATCCGCTAAGGCCACGAGTATTTACTAATATACCTCATCAAGAATTGACAAGGCAAGTGGAGAGTTCTAAACCAGATCTGTCAACTTAGATAAGTGATTTTTCAGATTGCGCGTCTCCCTTATTTTAGTCATGAGTCAACAACGTCCTTAGTGTGTGCATGGATTCCTGTAAACATGAACTTTGAATTCATATCTTACAAAAATATAGACTTTAAGTTCATGTTCACGAAATCCAAGCGCCCGCTAAGGCCGCAAAGATATGCTTATATACTCTATCAAGAATTGTCATGACAAGTGGAGAGCTCAAGATTAGATCTGTCAACTTAGATAAGTGTTTTTTATAATCGTGCGCGTCTTCATTTTTTTAATCACGAGTCAACAACGTCCTTAGTGTGTGCATGGATTCCCGTAAGCATGAACTTTGAATTCATACCTTACAAAAGTATAGACTTTAAGTTCATGCTCACGAAATCCAAGCGCCCGCTAAGGCCGCAAAGATATGCTTATATACACTATCAAGAATTGACATGGCAAGTGGAGAGCTCAAGATTAGATCTGTCAACTTAGACCAGTGTTTCTTTTAATCGTGCGCATTTTCATTCTTTTAGTCACGAGTCAACAACGTCCTTAGCGTGTGCATGGATTCCCGTAAGCATGAACTTGGAATTCATACTTTACAAAAGTATGGACCTTAAGTTCATGCTCACGAAATCCAAGCGACCGCTAAGGCCGCAAGGATATGCTTATATACTCTATCAAGAATTGTCATGACAAGTGGAGAGCTCCAAACCAGATCAGTCAACTTAGACAAGTGTTTTTTTAATCGTGCGCGTTTTCATTCTTCTAATCACGAGTCAACAACGTCCTTAGCGTGTGCATGGATTCCCGTAAGCATGAACTTGGAGTTCATACCTTACAAAAGTATAGACTTTAATTTCATGCTCACGAAATCCAAGCGCCCGCTAAGGCCGCAAGGATATGCTTATATACACTATCAAGAATTGTCATGATAAGTGGAGAGCTCAAGATTAGATCTATCAACTTAGATAAGTGTTTTTTCAAATCGTTCGTGTCTTCTTTTTTTTAATCACGAGTCAACAACGTCCTTAGCGTGTGCATGGATTCCCGTAAGCATGAACTTGGAGTTCATACTTTACAAAAGTATAGACTTTAAGTTCATGCTCACGAAATCCAAGCGCTCGCTAAGGCCGCAAGGATATGCTTATATACACTATCAAGAATTGACATGGCAAGTGGAGAGCTCGAGATCAGATCTGTCAACTTAGATAAGTGTTTTTTCTAATCGTGCGCGTTTTCATTCTTCTATTCACGAGTCAACAACGTCCTTAGCGTGTGCATGGATTCCTGTAAGCATGAACTTGGAGTTCATACCTTACAAAAGTATAGACTTTAAGTTCATGCTCACGAAATCCAAGCGCCGGCTAAGGCCGCAAGGATTTACTGATATACATCATCAAGAATTGTCACGGCAAGTGTAGAGCTCAAGATTAGATCTGTGAACTTGGACAAGTGGTTTTTCTAATCGTGCGCGTCTTCATTTTTTTAATCACGAGTCAACAACGTCCTTAACGTGTGCATGGACTCTCGTAAGCATGAACTTGGAGTCCATACCTTACAAAAGTATGGATTTAAGTTCATGCTCACGATATCCAAGCGCCCGCTAAGGTCGCAAGGATTTATTGATATACATCATCAAGAATTATCACGCTGAGTGGAAAGACCCAAACCAGATCTGGCAACATAGACAAGTGTTTTTTTAATCATGAACGTCTCCATTCTTTTAGTCGTCAGTCAACAACATCCTTAGCATGTGCATGGATTCTCGTAAACAAGAACTTGGAGTCTATACCTTACAAAAGTATGGACTTTAAGTTCATGCTCACAAAATCCAAGCGCCGGCTAAGGCTGCAAGGATTTACTTATATACATCATCAAGAATTGTCACGGTGAGTGAAGAGCTTCAAACCAGATCTGTCAACATAGACAAGTGTTTTTTTAATCGTGAGCGGCTCCATTCTTTTAGTCATCAGTCAACAACGTCCTTAGCGTGTGCATAGATTCTCGTAAGCATGAACTTGGAGTCTATACCTTACAAAAGTATGGACTTTAAGTTCATGCTCACGAAATCCAAGCGCGTGCAAAGGCCGCAAGGATTACCAATATACACCATCGAGAATGGTCGCAGCAAGGATTGAGACAGAGATAAGATTTTTTGATTAAAAAAAAGTGTTTTTTTAATCGTGCTTATGTTCATTCTTTTAATCACTAGGCTACAACTTCCTTAGCGTGTGCATGGAACTCCATAACCAGGAACTAGAAGTCCATGTACTACAAAAGGATGTATTGAGAGTTCGTGCTCACGGAATCCAAAAGTCCGGTAAGACTACAAGGATTAACAGACTTTTTTTTTTAACGTCGACATGGACATCACAATAGTAAAGGCATCGGAAATCTATTAGTCCATCATCCACACATGAAGATTTTGCCACATATGACTTGAGTCACGATTAATTTGGATTTCTTATGCTCTACAACATCTTTCTCTCCCCATCTTGCGTTCGTCTTTTTACTTGTACCTAGAATACATGAATTGAGTTTGCAGATGCTACCGGAGATTGAAAAAATACTCTCCTCTTCCCGGCGAGCTTGTGCTAGACACTTCACTTGTGCATGATTGATTGTTTAAACTCAAACCTTCTTACTTGATCAAGACTAAACTTTAATGAGATTTCTTTCTTTCTGCAATTATATCATTTTCTCACAAAGTTCTGCAACCTCTTTCACAACGTTTTTTTTATTTTTGCACTCTCTCCAAGAGTCAATTTGTTTTCCAGGGTGAGTCTGACTTCTTTTACATATTGAGATGTCTCTTCTAGAATCATGAGTGTTGCATGAGATTACTTTAGTTCTCATTGTAGACTCATGAGTCTATCACACTCCACTGAATCAGCTTGCTGTAGCAACTTTCTACTTTTTCATCTCATGTTGTCTAGATCTACTTTGAAATTCCTCACCTTGATTGCAAGAAACTACTTTACTATTGACTCTTGGTTCAATCTTGCAAATAAATTTTCCAATAAATTCCAAATTCTCCATATCTGATTTAGCCAATGTTAGTTTTCTCTTTAGCATTTACAAAACTCTTTGTACTTTATTCCACTAGTAAAAAGTAAACATTACATCAATACCTTTGATTATCGGTTTTGTTTCAAACATATACTTTTTCATGCCACCAATATTCTAGTTAGAGACTTCCACTAGCCCATCCGCAAAAGGAACCACAACTGATTCACTCCCTCTCACTTTGACTTTTGTCTTCTGAATAGCTGTATAGTTTGATCATCAATAGATATAACGGAGCAACAAAATCAAGTTGGAATGATGCAAAAATGAACCTATGGCGCCATAGACAAAGCTATGGGGTGTAGTTTTGAGAGTATGAATCATCTACCGATTTGACTTGAAGATCTTGGATAATTTTGATGAAAAAAGCGAGAAGCTCTAGAGTTTGAAGTCATTAGTTCAACACATTATGTTGAAATAGGATAGATTTCAATATTCAATGGAGCAAAAGACAAAGATTCAAAGTTATTTCTTAAGAATTTACAAAAGGTAATCTTTAAGTACATGGACTAAGACTAACAAAAATTTGGTTACCTTTTTGCCAAAGTTTTTTTAAGAAAGAGCGTCTTAATGATACGATAGACAATCAGAGCTTACCAAATTATCTTGGAAACAGTTGAATATAAAACTAATTATCTAGTTTAGATAGAATATTTTACAAGGCTACTATTTGTGAACCTAATCAAATTAAACAATAGTTGTTGGAAAAAATGAAGTATTACACAAATTACAAATATTGTTTGATCCGATTACTCAGAGCATACGCGTTCAAGAACATAGTGTCCAAAACCCATTTTTTTAAGTAAATAAAGACACTGGTGGTAAAACACTTCATGATCAAGTTATTGTCTGACTTACTTCAACAAATAAATCATGAGGGTGTGAATGCTTTACAGCAAGTTATCCGCATTGCCAAAAAAGAATTAATCTAGTTTAGATTTGACATTGATAATAGCATGAAAAGATATTGCAAATGTTCATTGTAATCCTTTGTAGTCTTCATCATCAACAAGTACACTTTGTTCATCCAACATTACTTCAGGAATGAAAGTTGTTATGGAATAATTTGTGTTGCAAATGACACAACTTAGCGTTTATTTCCTTCAATCGTGCATTTTTTGCACTATTGAACAAGATTCAAACAAGGTACAATGTTAGGTTTGCAAGAAAATGTATCACATTTCAAAAGATTGTCTGATTCGTGATGCATAGAAAAATCTTTCATCAAAACAAGTTACATTTGTGAATGACAAAGAAAAATGTTAAGTGAATTTAGTTGAGATTCAAGATGACATTTGGGAGAAAGTGATTGCCAACTTTGTACAATCTTTACACAATGAGATCAATGTAATGACAACAAAAAATCAAGACAAGACAAAGTTCAATCGCAAAGAGTGAAACAAAAGAAAAAGATGGCGAGAGAAAAAAGATTGAAGAAATCTTGACTAAGGCGGTTTAGTTTTCAAGATTTTTCAATATTCACAAATCACGGTTTGTACACAATTTTGGATGACGTCAGAGATAAGAAGACGAACATCACTCTTTAACAACTTGTGGCAATAATTTCATCAATTTGCAAAGAATTGAGCAAAAATTCATCGACATACAAAATTTCATCTATTTATTGATCTCATGCATCTCACACTAACTATTGCAGTTCAACAAGAGTATAATCTGACCATAGTTGTTAGATGTAATGACTCTATGTTGAGAGGTGTTCAAGTAGATGGAGAAGCAGATGTCAATGTGATGACCATTTTGGCAATGATGTACATAGGCTTTAACATTAAAATATCTTCCTTCATTACTTTGAAAATAACCAATGAAGAAATTTATAAACCTCAATATATGATTTTCAATTTGTGTATCAATGGTTTAGGCATTTTCTATGCAATTTGATTTACATTTGATGTTAAAAAAAAGATGTATCATATCCAAAGATACATCAAAAAATCACACATACAAAATTATAAGGCCAAAGTGTACATGACAATTTAGAAGCGGACGCATTGACAACGTATTAACTTTCTTCTACTAGAATGCGCATATGCATTAGACAAATTTGACTCTGACTTGTTAAAGACTGGTCATTTAGAATCCAAAGAAATTTACGGACAATTTATTGGATGATGAAGTGGAACTTGACGCGATTGAAGCAATTCCAAAGAAAGTAGATCCGACACAAATACAGCTACTTGCAAATTAAACCAAGAAGAAGCTAATTTTGTGAGATGAAAAAATAGCATGTTAGTTGAATCATATTTGATTGAAAATCGAATAATTTGCTCAAAAGAGAGAATGTATTTAACACCTATTATGTAAGTTAATTCATTTTTTTGCCTTCAATTACAAAAATTTGTATGATATCTTCTAAGAAACGCACAGAATTGAACTCGTACAAAATGCAAAGGCATTAAGATAGAAACCTTACTGTATGGATACTAAATATGTTAAAGTGATGAAAGTAGAATTGGAAAAATTGTTAGAAGCTGGATTTATTCAACCATTGGAGAATAATGAGTGATTATCTCCAATCATGTTGGCTTTTAATAAAATTTAAAAATGAAGATCTCCGTGAACTTCAAGAAACTTAATAACATTATAAAGAAGTATTCATAATCCATTACATTTTGCAACAAAATTCTAAAAGAGGTAAGAGATCATGAATTGTACTTTTTTTCAAACAGATTTAATGTACATCATTTAGTGATGATTGCGGTAGAAGATCAATTCAAGATCAACTTCACTTCATCAGGGTGCACATTTTCTTATGAAATAATGTCATTTAGATTTTGTAATGCTCCAGTTAACTTCAAAAGGCTAATAATGAAAGACTTGGAACTATACTTTGAACATTTTATAGGATTTTTCATGGATGATTTTGGAATATACTATTCAATTTTGCACCTGGAATAGTTATAGAAGGTTTTTAACCGCTTGAATGTGTCAAATCTGCAACCTCTGGACTAATTCTCACTCAAGTTTAACTTAGATGGCTTTGTGATAGCTCATGATGGTTCTAAAATTCTAGAATTGTTCCTTAGATTCATATCTCAAACACACTCTCACACATTCCCTCAATTCATCATTCATCGGGTGTTGTACGTGTGAAATAAAATAAAAAATAGCCAAGTATTTAATCTTAGTTAGTTTAATTATGACTATGTCTAGCTAGTTATAACTATGTTATCAAGTTATAATCATGTTTGGTTATGATGTCTATAATTGGTAGAATAATTAAAGAAATTCTAGAAGATTTGAGTTAGCACTTCTATTTTTTCTTTTACAACAGTTTAAATTCCAATTAGAAAATATTTTTGACTTCATGTATCATTTTGATTGGTTTGACTAAGTAATGGTAACTTCATTGTTTAGACTAAATCTAATGTTGACTTAGTGGTAAGTGGAGGTTCTAGAAGTTGAAAAGTCACATATGGCATGTTGTGAGCTCAATATAGAAATTAGTAAACATCTAGAAGATTTAACAGTTCAATGTCATGTTATTACGTATTAATAAATAGTCAAACTTATTATGCTTTATCCTTATAAAAGTAATTTATATAAGAATTATCCATTATTACTATGATAATTTCTTGAGTATTATTTATGGATATGTAGGAATAAAACTTTCAAGCAAGTTTGAAGAGTTCATGTATAAAGACTTGTTTTATATATGAAAGAGTGACATTTTTCAGCATCTTGGAAAGTCGATGTGTGGATGAATTTGAGTGATGAATTGATGAGGATATGTGTGAGAGTATATTTGGAACATGATCATGAGGGATAATCCTAGTCTTTTAGAATCATGATAAACTATTGCAAAGCCATCTGAGGTAAACCTGCGTGACAATCAGCTCAGAGATTTTAGATACTCTTTGGCAAGCTATATCAAAAGCGTTAGAGGCTTTTGCAAGCATTGTTACTTACTTGGATGAGAGCTACGGAGATTGACGACCATCAAGCATTAGTTTATTTTCTCAACATACAAAATACTTCAAGAACAACAACACGGTGGATAATTTTG